CATATTCTGTAAACAGATGCTGATAGATTATACAAAAGACAAGCAGAATTATGTGGCATTTGTTCCTATAGAATATAAAGATCTTGGATATTGTGATTATAACGATGATTTGAGCGATTTTTATTATAAGTATGGAGTTGGAGATACTAATCCATCGAGTGTACGTCTACAGAATATGATGGATGAAATAAAGAGGTTTAAGGATAACCATAATGGTACATTAGGGCAGATAGATTGGATAAACTGACAGATGATGTACCTGCAATCATTATGCTGATATTATGTATTATAGCATCTGTGATTGATATAGTAATGAGTGATATAATACCTGATGTGATAGTGATAATGGTAACGGTGATGCTTGCAATAGCTACAAAGGTATATATTATTGACAATAGCATATGCAGTGGAAGAGAAAAGAATGTATTGAAAGATGTATTGATGATAGGAGGAGTGTTTGTAATGACAAGATTGAAAGTGATTATACCATTTCTGAATAAAACAGAGAGATCTATAAATTCGGTGGAGTGTGTTGGTGATTATAGCGGTGTGTATGTCAGTATATGCGATGAGATGGATTAATATGGTGGCTAAGAAGATTGAACATGGTAAAATGAATTATCTGATGGATAAGAGAGTAAAAGAAGTAGAGTGAATGAGAATGGAATGATCAAGAGTATAATAATGTGTTTAATGCTGTATTTTGGAGTGATTCATACTATTATGAGTAGTCTAATGATGAATGATGTGATATTTAAGTGGCTTTCCCAGTTTGAAAGAAATACAACTGTTAAAGAATAGCCTAAGGAATAAGTCTTACTTGATTAAATAAGTGAATAGTCATGTAATATGTGAGTTTAATAAAAAATATAATAATTACAATAAAGTGAATGCAATATGATAATATTTGGCGGTATCGATTTATAACCATATATAAAGTAAAGTAAAGTATATAAAATCCCATGCAGAGTAACAATTTGTTGGAACATTTGGAACCGCAATTAGAAAAGTTGATGGATTATGGAGTAATGCATAATGTAATGAAGCAAACTGCAGACGTAGCATATGCAGAATTATCCACATATATCCAAAACTCTACAGAAAGCAGTGATGTAGTGCAAAAGCTCATTGAATTTAAGACAATCAGTCTTAAAAATGAATTGCCTAAAATATTGGAAAGAGGTGTATTAATTAAAACAGAACAAAAATAATTAGCGTTCGATCAAATACTAAATAAACTTCCCGAATATATTAAGGTATATCAAATGAAAGCAGAAATGCTTGGGAGTAAGTTTTCAGAGCACTCTTTAGATAAGGAAGTATTAAAAAAAGTACGTAACGAAATTAAAGAAGAATTTAAAGAAATTGTAGATCAAAGAATGTTTGAAGAATTTTTAGATGAATTAGAGAAGATTCATCCATTTAATAACATAGTATATATAAATAAAATACTACCAAAAGTGCATGCTAAAGTGATATCTCGTATTAAGACAATAACAAACAATATCAAATGTACATCAAGACTTAAAAATAAACTATCAAAAATCGAACAAATAAAAGGTTTTACAAATAAAAGATTTAGCAGAAAGATATAGAGTAGATCCGAGTTTAATTGATCAAAATAGTTTAAATGAAAAACTAAATGGATTGAGAAAACAATTGAAGAATTAGAAAAACAATTGAAAGAACAAAAAATAGGTGAGGAAATGATTTCAAATGATCCTCATAATAATGAATGGACTTCAGACGATTCTGATAGTAAAAAATACATAGAAGAATGTTATATGCAATGGACCATTTAGAAATACCGATGAGTTACAAAACTAGAATGTTTACAAACTCAGTAAAACCTTAATAGAACCTGGTTGATATAAATAAATTATATATCCTTATGCTTGATTTATGACAACTTATAATGTAATTATAAAAATAGTTATCACAATTAGAAGAATAATAAACGAGTTCCATTGATAACAAAACGACTAGGATGTGTGTTTTGATTATAGTTTCAGATTGCAAAACGATCTTATAAAGTAAGAACGGCTTGGTAAACAAATGGAAAATACGATAACCCAAGATGACCTTAGAAGCATGCAATACATGAACGAGGCTGTATTTTCTACACTGCTATTGGGGTTTTCTATTTGGAGATCATCTAGAAGCACGCTCCCCAGCTACAATATATTCAAAGGAAAGCTCAGAAGCCTTGGATCACTGTTCATATTGACTTCGATATTGTTTTCAACAGTTTATATATGTACGGTTGCATATCTTAGTACAAGGGTTGATATAGATAAGCTTTGGATAGAGATTAACGGAGTGTTAGATGCAAAGTATCCTATAAAATACAAGAGCCTGAGTGTTGATCTGGTGTATATTCTGAACATCTCTCTTAGTGTGTCTAGAGTTCTTAGAATGTCAGCTATTTTCCTTTTGATTGGATTGTGGGGGCCATGTGCATATTCAGTGTTCAACAGTGGAGAACGAGCATTTGATGTATTCCGAACAAATATGTCTGTGGCAAGAACCTTTGTTACGAAATCTATATTCAACACTTCGGTCATTACTTTCTCAAAGATATATGCAGTTTTGAGAGCACCTTTGATTTTGTACTATTACAGCAGACCTAAGATAGGAAATGAAAAAACGGCTATTTTCATGGAATCGTTCTTCTTGGGAAGTGAAGTTTATCTCTCAGTGGTGCTGTTGATGATTCTCAAAGCAAAGCATGGATTTCTTTCTGAATACAAATCACTTGACAGTACAAATCTACTAAGTTTTTGCTTGATGCTCCATGGGTTCCTCACATACACGGTAAATACTGTAGCAATTCCATTTGAGATGACAGAATTATATTACCAGATTCAACAAAGCTTGAATTTCGGTATAAGACTTATTCTGGATATGCTCTTGATTTCTATGTTCTGTCCGATGCGTGATCAATTATTTGATGTTCCTTTAAACAACAAACATGCAAAAAACCTTGAAGTAACAAGAATCTCACGATTTGAAGATTCTGGACCCATAGTTCAGGAAATAGAAAGTATAATTGAGTTTGAAGAGAAGGAAATAGCAAAATAAATTCTATATTAAAGTCATGAAGTACAACACCTTGCGTTTTCGAGTGCATATAAAAATTGCATTTCGTCATTTTTTATAATACTAAAACAAGCTTTTTGTTTCAAATTTTGCCGTATTTTATGTTTGTGAACCATTATAAGCTTCTGAAGCTTACATCGATGGATGCTATGCATATTTTCGAACTTTAGATATACTCTCACTGCATCCTTGAAGCATCTTATACAAATCTTGCTATTTTTTAGCTTTGACTCAATAGGAGTATCATTAAATGGTGATTCGACACATAATGGCTCTATTATTAAAGATTCCATAGAAGATGAATCCTCACAATCGAGATCTTCGTATTCGCTTTTTATTAAATCACTCGTTTCTATAGGAATATAGCTGCTCTCCTGAGCCAATGCATCAGATGAATTCTCATTGTATTCTTCAACTTCATCTGATCTAGATTTATTGACAGGTTCTAATGCTTGTATTTTAAACATTTTAATGGATCGTTTATTCTTTAATTTACTTTGTTTTAATGTCTTTTCTGTTGAGATCATGCGTTCAGTACTATTTGCTGATATGTTATTAGATAATATGAAAAAGTTATTGGCATTTTGCTTATTCTGATGATATTTTTGATGAAGAATTCTTTGCCTTGGTGTAAGTTTTGAAAGATCTGTCTCATCATAAATCGACTTTGCTAAGCGTTGTTTTGAAGGTCGTTCTTTCCTTGCCTTTTTACTTTTCTTGAGTGGTTTTATGATCTCTAAAGACTCAGGAGACGGTAGAAACGTTTTGATTCTATTTTTCATTTCCCTTTGCCATCTTATTTGTTTTATATTTTGATTTGGAGGGAATCACAGCTCTGGCGGTATTCTTTATATCATGATTGGATTAGAAGCAATATGAATATTGGAAGGCAAAGCTGAAACAATAACTCGTGCAGAAAACATAAACATGATACATCAAAACAAAATGCACGCTGAAGAGACTGACGGTGTTTTAACAACTATAAAAAGCAAATACGAATTCAAATCAAAGGTTCTTGAATACTCAACACACTTCTGCTTAGATAAGTTTGTAGTCATGCACAAAGATAGATTAATGGGCGAGATTCCATATGAAAGCATCCTTAAAATCGAAAAGAGAAAGAAGGGACTGAAGTTTGAGATATCAGGCGGATCATGTCTAAGGATTCCTTGTGAAAGCGAAAAAAAAAACAAAATATTTCAGATGTTCAAAAACAAACGATCAGGAGCCATATTAAACAGAAATGACATTGTTGGTGTTGCATTTGTACAATTTGCAGATCTTAAGTTCCTAGTTCCTCTCGAAGGCTCGTCCTTCAATAACTTCAAAAGGAGCGTTATTAGAAGAATTGGAGGTCATTTCCTGCCTTCTCAGAGCCTAGACTTTGTAAGTCTAGAGCATTACAATGAATTTGTACTTTATATCATATACAACGATGCATACGTAATGCTTGAAAGCGATGATGATTTTGTTTGTGCATTAATGTACTTCGATAACAAGCTGAATGTTATTGTTAAGCATGCCTCTAACCAGGCATAAACTATTTTAGAAAAACAGATGGTTACTGACTAGTCAATGGTTAAAAATCACTTTCTCTCAGTAAACTGATACATGTTTCTTACTTCTACTGATTCATTTGCCTCTTGACTTGAGTTCTCTCGAATCAGCACATTTCATCATTTGATTGGTTCATGCAGCAACAAAACAAGGTATCTGCAACCCAGGGATGCAAAGTGGCGATCTTTGCGAAATAGACGATTTGAGTGAGAATACAATTGTCGATGTTCTTGAGAAAAGGTATTTTGAATGTATGATGTATACAAGGTCTGGAGTGGTGTTTCTGGCTGTCAATCCATACACAGGAGTAGATTCTCACAACAATGGCTCAGTCAGTGAATGTTTTGATAGAGATAAAGAGATTGTTCATGTATGTAATGTTGTAGAGTCATGCTATAGAGATTTTTGTGTACATGGAGATCAAACAATTGTTATCAGTGGTGAATCTGGATCAGGTAAGACAGAAAATGCAAGGCTTATGATAGATTATCTATTAAGAAAGTTGAAGAGCGAGCAATTTATTCACGATAACATAATTGCTGCTAATACTGTGCTAGAAGCATTTGGAAATGCTCGTACACGCCTTAATGACAATAGCTCTAGGTTTGGTAAGAGAATAAAGCTGCTTTTCAGTGAAGATGCAAGTATTACTGGAGCAGTGTTTGAGACCTATCTTCTTGAAAAGAGCAGAGTTACGCATCATGAGCAAGGAGAGAAAAACTTCCATGTGTTTTATCAACTATGCGCCGCACATCAGATATTTATCAAGAATGATTTTATCGACACATCGAATATATCAGACACTACAGAATTCAAAGATTATGCCAAAGAATACACCAAAGTGTTCTCCTCAATGGAGCAATTAGGAATACAAAATGCTAAGCAAATTGAAAAATACCTGATAGGAATTCTATATTTGGGTTCTATTAACTTTGTGAGCGATGGCATTCTGAAAGTGATGAGAAATGATTGTTTTGTTGAGTTCTGTAGGATATATAGTATTCCTGAAGATATTGTTGAAGAAGCATTGGTTAAATTTTCGATTCAAGTCAAAGGAGAGACAATTGAAGTATTCAATACACAAGTACAGGCCATCACAATAAGAAATTCCATGGCAAGATTACTATATTCAAGTATATTTAACTACATTACATCATGTATAAACAATCGATTGAAAGGCGAAGGTAACACAGGCTCTATTTCTGTGCTTGATATATTTGGATTTGAAGCATTCAAAAGCAATGGGCTTGATCAATTTTGTATCAATTGGACAAATGAAAAAATCCAAAGTGAGTTTGTTAGAAAGATTTTGAAAGAAAAGCAAGAAGACTATAAGAATGAAGGTATTGTGTGGAAAACCATCGAACGTCCAACGGTGAAGCAGTGCATTGTTGATATTGAAAAGCCTTGTGGATTGGTTGATCTGATAAGTGAGGAGAGTCAGAATTCATGGGGCAGTGCAGCAAATCTTGGCACTAAAATAAAAAACTATCTTGGTCAAAGCATAAAAACAACAGTGGATGATAGAATAGTAATATCGCATTATGCAGGAGATGTGGAATATGGCCTTAAGTCATTCATTGAGAAAAACAAGGAAAGAGGAAACTTAAAGATATTTACAGGGATGCCAATTGCCACTGATGATAACAGCAAAAGAGATTTAGTAAGGTATTTTAAGCACTCTATGAATGAACTATTGGGCTCCATAGGTAAGACTCAAGTCAAATACATCAAGTGTCTAAAACCAAATCTCTACAAAAAACCAGGAGTCTTCGATAGAGCATTGATATCCAAACAGTTATTTGAATGTGGGATTCTACAAGCAATCAGAATAAGTAAGCAGTGTTTCGCACAGGAAATGCTCTTTAAAACCTTTGAAAATAGATACAGTATGCTTGGAGAATGTATTTACAGAGTTGTGGATGTCATAAAGGGAAATAATAAATACTTCATGAGCAACCAGATACTGGATGTGTTGGAGAGCTGTAGAAATCATGCTTATAGCGAATGTTTTAGAATTATTAAAATATCATTGCAAGCACATTTGAAAAAACATCCACAAGAAAAGAAGCAGAAGATTCTGTTTGTAAATGAAAATTGCGATGAGTATAAGAAAAAGCTTATCAATGAAGCATCTACTCCAGTCATTATAGAATGCGATGATATGATGTTGAAAGATAAAGAATCACTGATTACAAGTTGCTCTAGCATTGATATTAATGATAAACACAGCAATGAAGGTGAAACCAATAGAACATATAGTGAGATAATTAAAGATCTGGAATTGAAGATAGAGCAGTACAAAAGATTCTGTGAAACACCTTGCAGAACCTGTAAATCGCTTGAGATGAAATACAAGTTCCAAAGTGAAGCATTGAAGAAAAAAAACATGGTGGAATTGGAACTTGAGAAGTATAAGGCAAAAGTAGAGGATTTAGAAAGAAAACTGTCTGAAAGGGACGACGAAGAATCTCAAATAAGCGTTTCATTCACGAATTCGTACAATATTTTTAGTTGTTTAATCCAGTTGTATTTAGAATTTGCACCATCATTTTCAAACGAGGAAGTTCCAAGACCAGAGATGTTAAGTTTGGCTCATTCAGCATTCTATGTGGTAAGTAAGCTTGATAGAGATGCAGTTGAAACCAGTGTTAACATAATGGATGAAATATATCTTAAATTGAAGATGTTTGAGAGGAACATCCACAAAATCTCATTTATATTGTCCAACCTGATTGAATATCAAAGCATCCTTAGAGAAAAAGGCATTTTTGTGGAAGAGATAGAAAATCTGATATCAATATTATTCAAACACCTTTGTGAATTGCAAAGAGTGTCTATACTTGAAGTATTACCAGATGCTGTTGTTGAGCATCAACAGATTTCTAGATTCAAATGTAATGAAGGATACCTCAAGAAGATTTTCAAGCCACCTCATGTTTCAAAACTGATTCGGCTTCTTGAATATTTCTATCACCAAATGCTGTATTATCACATTCCAGAGCCATATGTTGTAGAATCTGCTAACTATATACTGAAAACAATCAATACATCAGTTTTCAACGAGATCCTTGTCCGCAAGAATTTTCTTTCATTCAACAGAGGAGTGCAGATAAACTATAATATTAATGAAATAGACAAGTTTTGTAGAAACATCAACTATTCGGAAGGTATGTTTAATTTATCGCATATTACATCAATTATAAAACTGATCAATCTTGTAGAAGCACGCGCTACAGCAGATAGCATTCTAGATGAATGCTCAATCCTTAATTGCATACAAATAAATGAGATAGTTGCAAGGTTGGATTCAGATGCATCATATCATTTTGGAGAAGATAACAGAGAAGACAAGTTTGTTCAAGATCCCACAATAAGCATGCCTAACTATACAAGCACATCGCTTCATGATTTTATATGCCCAAGATATATTCCTTCAGAAAGTCTGATGTCTATACTGAAATCAATCAATAAATAGTAGATAAATAAAAAACGTACTAAAACGTGTATATTGCTATTTTACTTTTCTCTTTTCTTCAGGTGCAAATATGTTTTCTCTTGTATAAAATTTCTGCAGAATCTTGAAGCAGCGCTCGTCTGGGATATATACTGTGTTATCTCCAATACCACATATGGTTTTACTTCCAAATACTTCGTTTTTGCATCCGTAGTATACTTTTACGTTGCTTAGTCTTGATATTATTCCCATGCACATTATGCAAGGCTCGCATGTAATGTAAAATGTACTGTTTGAACAGTCTGTACTCCGGATGCAAAGAACTTCAGCATGTTCAAGAGGAGATTTGTTGGCATTGGTCATGTTGTGTGAAGAAGATACGATCTTGTTGTCTTTGACAACTACACATCCAACAGGAACCTCCTGCAGTTCGAATGCCTTGACGGCTTGTTCAAATGCCATGCTCATAAAAACTTCATGCATGCCATGGGAGAATCAAAAACGGATTCATGAACACAGTTAATCATTTATATGAGTGTAATAGAATATTTGTATGATATGGTTTAGCATTATGTTTATTGATCAAATCTAGTATCCATCATTCTGTTTTGAAAACAATAGAGATAAATATTGTATATGTTTTTGTTTGCATCAACCCTGAAAATGGAGTGTCTTAGGAAGCAAGCCAATAAAATCCCTGTACTCCAAAGACTTGAGGATCTGACGAAAATAGACAAGACCTACATCTTGCTTGGTGCATGCCTGTTTTGTGTTGCTATCATTATGGCAACCCCCTTCGGGCCGATCGTGACGTCAACAATTGGTATTGTCATTCCTTTGCAAGAGACACTTGTGATACTGAAGCAAGTCAACCCAAAACGAGATGAGATAAAGCATATGCTTGTTTTCTGGATGGTTTTTGGAATACTTACATCTCTGGATGCATACTCAGGCCCTATACTTCGATTTGTTCCTTTGTGGTACACAATAAAGTTCTTTTTTGTGCTTTGGGCAGGACCGCTAAGGTTCAAGGCAGGATTGGTTCTGTATGACAATATACTGATTCGCATACCTGAGCATTGGTATACAGGGCAATGTGGGATTGAGAGTGCAGTCAGGAAAGCCACTGATGCTGTGAAGACAGTTGCAGAGAACGAATTCAAAAAGAAGGATGCCGAAGATGCCAAGAAAGTTGATTAAATGTGTTCTGCTGTAGTTTATTTATGAAACACATACAAAAACCTTGTATTGATATGGATATCTAATTTCCAAACGTCGGTTGAAACCATTCATAAAACCAAACATCAACTATCTAGAAGCCAGCGAAGTATCACATATGATGATGAATTGGACAACTGCATTTATCGTGTTGAGAAGCATGAAAATTTGCAGAATCCGTAAGAATGTCCAGGTAATTCTGGATTATCTTAGGTTACAGCAATATGGAATGAAATGTTCACTTTGTGACTTCGATCTAAATACTCAAGGATTGCTTTGCAAAAGATGCTTTAAACGACTTCATCCTATGCATCTTAGCTTGAAAACGTCCATAGTTGTCGAATATGCACATTTGATGCATACAATAGAAAAATATAATGGATCTACTGAAATGAATACAAGTATAGACTCGGCTAATGAAATTGATATCAAAAGATTCAGGTTTCTGGGTGTGTCTATCGATTGTACAACAAAGGATTTCCAAAAATTATTTTTGAACATCGCCTTTACAAATCTGACTCATACAGAAGAACTTATTCTGCAAAACATAAGGATAAAAATACATAGATGTGCAATAAATAGATGGAAGACATATAAATACAATTCGATTATAAACGCACTCGATGTTCATTATAATACTGTAAAATTGAACCATTTGATCTGCATTAAAAACCTTCGTACTGAAGATGCATGGATTCTCAAAAAACACTTATTGGAAGTTCAAAAATATAAAGACGATTTAATAGAAATAAACAAAGCCAACAACTTAAACAAATAGATAAATAAAAGAGTACAAATGATCATTGTGTCAATGTACACAAGCTTTTGACAATTTCAAATCCTTCTTTTGCTTCTATACTTCGTTCTTTGTAACCTGCATCACTAACATCCAATCCAAAATATATTTTTTGGAATCCAAGTATTTTCCACAAATAAACCTGTGCATATCCGTCCCACTCAAAAGATTCTTTTATTATCTTATCATACATTTCAATTGGTATAATAGGTATGTTATTTCTTTTCATTTCTCGGACTATCTCGTAATACCTGTCAAATCCAAGTCCGTGTATCATCCGGTGAATTGATTCCTTGGTTGGCTGATGCCTCTTATGTATAATGTCAATTGCGTATTTCAGAGATTGCCATTCATCTAGCAGAGGATTTATCATCAGAATGCATCTGTTATCCATTATTTTGAGATAATCCACTAGATTCTGGTTAATCTTTTCTTTTTCATTCCAAAACATCAAATCGTATATCAATGCAACAAAAGAAGACGGATATCTCCTCAATATACTATCCACTACATTATATATGCTTAACATACATGGAATGTTTGCAATAAATCTCAAAACTCTGCATGCTTCTGTTTCATTGCGTATGTAATCCTTAAAAAGAAGATTCATGTAAAAATCAAAGTTAAGATTATGCACATTCTCAAGAACAAACATTATGTTCATCTCAAGCTCCACTGAAAGTTGAGAAGAAAGCATATTAAATGGCGTGGCTGTAAACAATACGTTCAGAAGTCCTTTTGAGTAAAAATAATCTATAAACGGAAAGGGTGGGTAGTCTAAGTTGCGTTTGCTAATATTCTTTTTGGATCTCTTGTTTACGTAAGTCTCAGAACCTTGATCTTCAATCATTTCCTTGATCTGTAAAAACAGAAAATCACTGCATTGAAAGTCAGATGCATCAAAAAATGCTCGATGTATAGTGCTTTGGGCACAAAAAAACATCAAAAACATTAGAGACACAGGATGGCTAGTAAAGTACTTTGGATGCGCCTTGTACATCGAAAATACATCTTCTATAAGATGAAGTCGCAGCATGTTCACAATTAATGTATCCACATTATCTTCATATACAAGCATCATGCTAACGATGCTAATCAGGTTGTTAGAAACATCATCTGTAAGTCTGTAAAACTTGAATTTTATGAGATGTTTTAAACCATTCACTACGTCTTGGACAGGATAACTTGACAGAAGGCTGTCTAGCAGTTGTTGCGAAGGATCCAGAAGAAGCTTATAAAATATTATATAAAATCCATCCTGAGCATCATCCTCGGAAGCTGTTCTAAGCTTTCTGCAAAACTCATCTTCATCAATCAAATCCTTTAGCATCAGGGTAAACCATCAAATTGGATTTGGTTTTACAAAATATCATTTATTAAGTCTTCCTTCATTACTCAGAAATAAACATTCACATTATGATGCACCTTTATTAAGTCTTCCTTCATTATTCAGAAATAAACATTCACGTGATAATACACTCCTTCATAAGTCTTGTGAGCAACGATCGTTTTAAATTTCATAAACTGATCAGTTATGTCTGTGTTAAATACCAGAGACACAAGTATTTTATTACTAGTAGAAACAAGATATAAATAATTTGACAATCGCTGTACTTCTCTAACATCGCTTCTGTTTATACATATAGGTGTCTTCAAGTACTCAACTTTTCTAAGTATATCTTCAGGTGTACACACTTGCGCTCTCAACCTCTTTGCTAGGTCTAAAGGCTCAACAAATTCATTCGGCATGCTCAGGACATAATATTCCTTCAAATACACTTCATAAGCAAATATTGCAAAACCATTCGTAAAAATAATTTTCTAAGCTCTGGATAACTCCATTATTTAGCTGCTTCAAAATCAAGGTAAACCATGAACTCAATTAATAAATCTTAGTTTCATTTGGCCCGTCATTTAAGAATTCATATGCTGTCTCTTTAGGCACTTCTACTACACTGCTCTTCTTTTCTTTAAACTCCACACTAAAATATCTGTCTCCACATACAAGAGTCTCCTTCCTGAAGCTAGCTATAATAAACTGGTATTTGTGGCATTCGTTCATTTCCTTTATCATCATGCATACTCTCTCACGTACCTGTGAGTCTAAATTTGCATCAATCTCATCAAATACATAAAATGGAGATTTATATACTCTTTGCATACTAAACATCAGGCATAACGCTATAACCACCTTCTGCCCGCCACTCAGCAAGTTAACTTCATCTGTTAGTCCATCAATCTTAACTCCTAATCCTTCAGTTGTATCGATAAGCTCTCCAATCTTCCCATCGGTAAGTTTTGAATAGATCTCAGAAAATACACGCTTCACTTCAGACAACGCAAGCTTCATGGTCTTTTCTTTCTTCAAGTCAAGCTCACATATAAGTTCAAATATCTTCTCACGATCATAGCCAAGCTCGTCAAGTTTCTTCTTGATCAAATCTCTTTGACTGCTGTAATCTTCCCATTGTGATACACTTTTCTTGTTAATCATGCAAAACCCTCGAATCCTTTCATTTATCCGTGATATCTCACTCACAAATTCTTCTTTGCTCTTCTCAGGATACAAACACTCCAGATTTCTGAAATCAGTTGCTCCTATCTTCATACACAGTTCATTTCTCTTTCCTATCAATACATGCTTCTTCCTCATAAGCACTTCTGTTTCCACATTCACTCGTTTTGCATCAACAATTACATCGTCATTCTCCTGATCAAATATTTTCTCCCTTATAATCTTTTCTTTTTCTCGCAGATCTGCAATCTTTTCATCAATCCTTAGTGCTTCATCATACATTTTTGATTTACTAAGATTCTCTTCTAATCTTTTTATGGCATCATTTATCTTCTTCATCTCAGTTTCTGCTTCTCTCAATCTTAATCCCATCTTTCCAATTTCAACCATAAACCAGTTGCTCTTCATCAATATCTCTTTCTCATCAGTCCTTAGCCTTTCAAGTCGCTTGCATATTTCTGTTCTACAATCTTCACTACTCATGCCTACCATCTTCGTCAGCATCTTCACTTTCTCATCAAGAAATTCCACCGTACCACTCAAAACCTCACTAGTCCTATTTTCAACATCTCCACAATCAATCAAAAGCTTCATTTCATCAATCTCTCTTCCAATATTCTTAATCTCCTGTTTTATCTTGCCATAATCATCGCCATGTTTCCTCAGCTCTTTACAAATCCTTTTATACTCCCGAAGCGCCCCACTCTTCTTCTCATATCCTCCACTTATAGGTCCATCTTTACTAATCACATCCCCAGAAATAGTAACAACATTGATCTTATACTTCTTCGAAACATAAACACCTTGCTTCAAATCAGAGCAGAAGTACGCATCATGTGTTATGTGCCTAAATAGTGCCCTATATCTCGGCTCACATCTTATCTTAGATGCCAAGGAAATAACCATCGGATCCTTTATCTCATTTGCATCCTTAAGTTCTATCCTATTCAATGGCATAAATGTTATTCTAAATTTCATGCCTTCAATCTTCTTCAATAGCATCGATGCAACTTCCTCATCTCTAACCACAACATTAAACAACGAATTCCCTGCTACCGCTTCAAATGCATTCAAAAGCTCATCAGGTATACTTACCAAATCATAAACATACCCAAGAACTCCATTAAATTCCCTCATGCTTTCATATATATCAGCCCTAGTATCAACAATCTGGAAAAGCTTGCTTTCATGCAATTTCACCATTTCATCAATAGACTTCTTTGATAGTTCCAGTCTTTTCTCCTCTCTCCAAAGATATTTTCTCCTTTCAACCATATTTTCAAGATCTCGCTTCATATCCACCACCTTTCTACTGGAAACTCCTTCTCTGCTTTTTTCCATTTCATTCATTTTGTTACATAATGCAGCCTTTGCTACTTCTACTTCCTCAAGACTTATTTTCTTATTCATTAATGTACCCAAGAATCCTATAAAATGTCTGACACATACAGATCGTATAAAGTTTTGCGCTTCTTCCTCTTTAAACTTCAAAAATTGTTCTTCTTCTGTTGAATGCCTCTCTTTTAGCTTATTTCGCTTTTCTTCGAGATTGCATATTCCTTTCTCAATATATTTTGTCTTCTCATTATACCTAGGATCTATGCTCAGCCTCTTTCTTGCATCAACCAGAATCTTTATCCTGTCCTCAATCTCCTTGGCTTCAATCACATAATCATCTTCATCATCAGAACACTCTCTACATTCATTCGCTATCAGACTTTCCACTCGTAAAATCTCATCATTGATCTCTCGTACCTCTCTCTCAATGTATCCATACTCAAGTCTTCGTCTTTCATTCTCTAACGCATTACAAAGCTCTACTTCCTTTTTGTCATTCTCAAGGCTTCGCAGCTTTTCGTCAATCCTACCAATCATTAGCCTTATCCTTGTTTCATTTTGTTTTGTGTCCTCAAGTTCACGTATACTCGTCTCTCTGTCCTTTTCATAACAAGCAACTCCACAAACATCCTTCAATAATTTATGCCTGTCTTTGTCTCTCAATGTAGCAAGTGCTGCAACCTCTCCTTGTGCAACAATAAAATACGTACTTGAACCTGTAAGAATTCCATTCTCATGCAAAAACCCAACATACTCTTCTCTACTAACAACCTTTCCATTAACAAAATACTCATCTTTCTTCATCCCTATTGTTCTTCGAATGCTGATCTCACGCTCCATGGTTTCTTCTTCCATAGACTCACAAAAAACAATTTCAACCTCGGCTTCCTCTTCACTAATAGCATTTCCTTCATGAATAAAATCGGAATTCTGCTCTACATTTCTATCCTCTGCACACATCGCAAATCTAAGAGCAGACACAATACTGCTCTTTCCACTTCCATTCTTTCCAATAATCACATTCACTCCTTCAGAAAATCTCAGCTCTGTCTCAGATTTGAAACTCTTGACATTCTTAAGCCTCATCTTCTTCACATGCATATGTATTCCAAGGGAATCTTACTTTAATATTAAACACTGGCTTTATGGTAACAGTTAATCAATAAATAACTACATTCTTGCATAAACACTCTACTTTAATCAACATCACTGGCATTCACCTGCTTTTCATAGAACATCTTATTCAGCTCCATGGTCCCTTTCCTATACACTTCACATTCACTCTCGGCTTCAAAAAATATCTCTCTAACTTTACTTACACATCTCTCTTGGCATTCCTTAAGATCCTTTTCTAATGTTTTACATGCCTCCATTAGACTCGACTTCTGAGCAAGGAGTTCATCTCTCTCATTCAATAAACTCCTGATCCTCTCATCAGTCTCTTTTTTTAGCATCTCTTGTGCCTTAATCATCTCATTTTGAATAACTAGAAAATCAAAATATCTCTCTTCATCCTTATTCACACTATTCATAGAGTCTCCTTGCGTATAAATGCATACATCCACAAGCTTACTCATATTCGATGCAACAGAAACAAAATCAATCCAATCTTCAATGCTGTTGCTGTTAAGATGTTTGCATATAGCATCAGGTATACTTGTAATATCTATATCAATGCTACAAATCACAAAATCAATCACATAGTTAAAGTACAGTGGATATTTAGACACCAACATCATCCAGAAACACAGATGTTTCTCTTCATTATTGTTATCATTAATCGCTTCCGTACATTCATTATTTTTGATGTGCATTGCAAATATCCCGTTCAGATTATGACGCCGAGCCATCGAACAAATAAACTTATACACCAGTCCAGCTGTAGCATAAGGTAGGTCAATAACATGCTTTATTACAAATACCAGTAGCTTAGCATCATAAATACCGGTAAGGCTCTTTCTTACATTCTTGAATATGCTAAATATTGCCTCTTCATTGCTTTCATCAGAATTTTTGCATATCTCGAGGATATACTTCACAATCGCCATATCTTCCCCAAAATCAACATCTCCTTCTGAATCTGTTGTCAATCCTGCATTACAACTCATGCCTAGAACGCACGGTCTTATATTCTCCAATTCTATACTTTCATCTCTGCTTCCACTGCATTTAATCCATACTGAAAACCTCAATCCATCATCCATTCGATATATATTATTCCGAATCTCATTCATATCAACATCTTTCTCAGATAGTGTATATGCCCAGAATTCATATTCGGCATAAGACCTCGTCGTACACATTGCTGTACAATGCTTCTTACCACATCTCACTCTACTATATACCTTGGATGGGAAAAGAACCTCATCGGTGTACTTCGGTGTATTTGTCCCAAGAATCAGGTTATCCAGAAAACTCATAAACACTGCACATCGGCGTAAGATATTTCCATTCGCTCAAAAGGAGTCCTTCTAATCAATAGCCGGACACACTTCGCATCAATAACATTCATTACTTGATTCAATCATGTGTATCTATTATAACCAATCACTTTACTTCAAAAATTTTCGCCTTCAAATACATTTCCATGTATTACCATCTTCTGTATCTCGTCTTTTCTATTCGCACTCTCAAGCACTCTTTCTTCAACAGTTCCTTTTGTAATAAGCCGATACACCGTAACATCTCGTGTCTGGCCTAGTCTATGCGCCCTGTCCATCGCTTGTTGGTCAGCAGTTGGATTCCAATCGCTGTCGTAGAATATAACAGTATCTGCGGCCGTCAGGTTAATTCCCAATCCTCCTGCACGAGTACTTAGCAAAAATATAAACCTGTCATTTGTTTGCCAATCTTTGATCACCTCGGCACGGCTAGACGCTTTTAAACTACCATCAAGTCTCAGGTAGCTGTATCCCTTCTTCACAAGATAGTCTTCTATCAAGTCTATCATCCTAGTCATCTGGAAGTAAATCAACACTCTATGTCCCTCAGATTTCAACTTCGGCAGCAACTCATCAAGAACAACAAGCTTTCCGCTGTCACTGATAAATGTATTCAAAGGTGGCATGTATACAGTCATATCTAATTGCACATACAGTCCATGTACATCAAGTTGGGGAAGAAGCGCCCTGTTAGAAACAAGTCTTGGTGCAGTTGCAATCACTGGACTTATACAACAGATGTATCTTTTCATACTGAATATTTCCTCATCAATCAACTTCGATATCTCATTTTCAATCGCTACCTTATCAGTACATTCATTCTTCTTTAATATACTATTCAGAACATCATCAACACTCATAAGCACATCTCCTTTGTACATATAGTCCAAGCTCCTACATATGTACCAACTTTCACTTCCTCCTGTCTTAGCAAGCATTCTTATCCTCTCAATCTTATTCATTAATTCCACTTCCTTTCTATAGCACATCTCAATAACATCATTTGCTATAAGGCTCGGAACATTGATATTGATCTTGCTCCTTCCAAAAACAACAGCATTGCCTATTCCATCGCTCATCTCAAGACTCAATCCACACGTGGGCTCTAACTTCTTAAAAAGATCAGGATGATTGCACACCTTCTTTAACTGCATTAGCAGGTTCTCCATTTCCATGCTATTGCATGAACGTGTGATCTCCTTATATAGCTCCTTCTGTCGGTAGCTCAACTCACACTGTAAATCAATCTGTGTCTTCTGCCCTAGTTCATGCATTACATCAGATTTGTGTCTTCTAAGCATAAAAGGTTTCAAAATAGCATGAAGTCTCTGTAGTGATTTTTCATCAACACTCTTTCTCAATGTTGCAGATGCCTCAATATCCTTGCTAAACCAATCGCTGAACTCACTCAGAGAGTCAAAGAGAGTCGGCATTATAAAATGTAAAAGTGCCCATAACTCCTGCATTGAGTTCTGTATAGGTGTTCCTGTCAATAAGAGTCTGTTTCGTGCCTTGAATCCCAAAAGTACTTTCCATCTTCTTGATGAGCTGCTCTTGATTGCCTGTGCCTCATCAAGAATCATGTACTGCCACTTGATCTTCCTTAACATCCTCTCGTCACTCACTGCTGTCTGATACGTCGTAATCACTACATCAGAGTCCTTAAATCGCTTCTTCAACTCCTTCCTATCACCTGGTGATCCTGAAAACCTGCATATCTTGAACTTTGGCAAAAACTTTGCAAACTCCTGTGCCCAGTTATCAAGAGTAGATGAAATCGTAACCACTAGAAAAGGCCCTGATATTCCTTCCGTTTCATATAAGTATGCAAGCAGAGAGATCGATTGCACAGTCTTTCCAAGTCCCATGTCATCGGCTAAAATCCCATTGATTCCCTTGTCATATAAGCTTACTAACCAGTTTAATCCCTTAATCTGGTAGTCCTTTAACTTGCATAGTAAAATACTTGGCTGAGATACATACCTCGTCTCCTCCTCCGCATTTGCATCCTTATACTTCTTAGATGGTATGTCCAAATCAAATTCTTTTAACTTCTCCTTTTGAAGAATTGCTGCATCGTATCCACGCATATCCTTGTATTCCTCAATGCTTTCATTGTCTGCAGTATCATTGCATTTGTTCTTCTTAAGAATAAAGTGGGAAAATATTTCTGTCTGGCTCAGCAAATACTCAAACTTTCGCTTCTGCCTCTGCTCTTCCTTCTCTTCCATTTCCTTCTTCTTCCTCTCAAGCTCTGCTTTCTCGGCCTTCTTCGTTTTATCCTTGATGTTCTTTTCTGTCTTCTTTATATGACCTGATAGCTCCCTGAATATCTTCTTTGACTTAAGAGCCGGGTTTGTTTTCGATGTTTTAGAAAGCCCTCTTCTCAACTCTCTGGCACATATTGTGCTGATTTTGCGGCATTGTGCAATCTGTACAGAGTCGTGCTTCTCTATTGCAGAGTGGATTTTCTTGACATTCTTTGCTATCGATGTCCATTCAGCAGTCCTGCGCACTTCACTCTCACCTTGGCCTTGAAGACTTCTAATATCACTTATTGCCTGGTTTATACACTCGTCTACTAGAAACTGTACGTTCTTGACTTCAGGATACCCAAACACAGCGCCTTGCATCTCAATAATGCATCTCGGCATACTCAGACTTCCATCTCCAATGCTCTTCAGACCAAAAACCTCTCCATACTTTGCATAAATCGCTTGTATCTCCTCCATGTCCTCTTTTTTCATTTTAGGGCTGTACAAGCATGTGTCCATTTACTCCCTGTCTGAGTGTTTATTTATACACCTGAGTCAACAGGCTTCTTCACTTGAAACCATAAGCCAATATAATCAGCATAAGAATAAACAAAATAATGATTCCGGCTATACTGTTGATGCTGCATTCATGCATTTCAAAGATAGTTGTTGTCGATGACATTGGTCTTGCTAACAAGAAAGCACGTGATCCAGAGATTGTAAAAAGGGCGATCGATGCTTTGCAATCCACTGCAAAAAACAATGAAGGCACTGTTATAGTTGCAAACATTAATGGCACAAGGAAGTCGATTGATGGCATCGATGAAAGATTCAATATCAAGCGTCATAATAATTTCAGTGACAGTTCAAACGATACAAATGAAGGCATAAATGTTAATTGGGAGTCTGAGGCAAGATTTTCGCCGGTTACTACTAAAATGTTGAGTGGAGGCTCAGGAAATGCAAATGTCAATCATGCAAATGTATACAGTGTTCAAAAACATATGAACAATTCATTTAATAACGCAAGCCAGTTTGAAAACGATTTTTCATCAGGTATGGATTTTTCGAGACTGGGCTCACGTTCAAAAGCATATGAATATTCAAATGCATTTTCTACTGATTCCAAACATTCTACTGGAGAACCATATCTTCCACTGTCGTTTCGCAGCAGTAAGATTAATATGCTTGACGATTATCTTGATGATAGACTAGATGAGGGACCAGAAACATCTATGGTCAGAAGGATGCTTGATGAAGAACCTAGGTCAAGAAAGTCTGTAATAAGCTTGAAAATGGCACAAAGTAAGCAGAAGGAGAATATGCTGCAAAGCAGTATAGACAAGATCTCGCAGGAAATAGACCAAGTATCTGAAAAGATCCAAGATGTTCAGAAGTCAAAAGACATAATGACAGCAAAGCTTCATACCAAACGTAATCACCTGAGGAATCTGCAAATAAATAAGAAGGAGGTCGACATCCAGCGTGGAAGAACACTTGCATTGATTAGAATCTCAAGAAATGAACTTCTTAAACTTTCAAAGATGATTGATGATCAAAAATCAAAGCTGGCTCTTCTTGAGGACGAAGAAAAAATATTCACTGACAGAATAAGGAAGTACGATGAAGAACATGACGTGGGAGTCAGAGAGCTTCAACTGGAAGAATCAAGATCAGAAGAAATCAAGAGAAGTATCGAAGAGCTCGAGAAAATATACAACATGTTGAAAGTAAAAAGCAACGAGCTGCTCAATCAAAGAAATAGAGAAAGCAGTATAAGAAATAAGCTGGAATTAGAAGTAGAACGACTAGATAGGAATTCCATAGATTTTATTTAATACAAGACTGTTCACAGTAAATGAGTTTGAAATCAACCTTATTATTTTCCAAGCCCTCTCATGAAGGCCACTGCGATTTCCACTGTTCAAACCGTTATAATGTGTGTTTCACAAGCAATTGAGTGTTTTATCAATAACTATTATGCAATCAGATATATAAACTGTGCTGCGTGGGTTGTTCAACGCTGTGTTTCTATACTACGTAGCTTGGTATTCATAAGCAGTTGTTCATTCATTAAGATCCCAGGTCACGTAAAAGAATGTGTTCATGAACCAATAAATCGTAGCATAATAAAGATATTTCAGGGAATGAATATTGCGTTTATCTGTGATGGAAATAGGAGGTATATGAAGAAGCATGGCTTTAAAGATCCGTTTGAGAGAGATGATGGACTAAACAAGATTTATGAGTTCATTCAATTTGCCTACATTTATGGAATTCGAGAAGTTTCTTTATTTTGCTTTGCAATCAAGAACTTCAGAAGAAAGAGTAGTGAGGTTGATGGAATCATGAACATCATAACAAACAAGTTTAAAACGCCAGAGGAAAAAGAAATAAGAATTAAAGCAAAGATAAGGATTTATGGAAGGCTGGATCTTGTTAAGCAAGATGTAAGAGATAAACTTATTCTCATACAGAATGAAACACAGCATAACCAAGATATAATTGTCAATATTTTCTTTGCATACTCTGCAGAAGACGAAATTATTCAAGGAGTTAAATTCAACAGCAATGTTGATATTCTCATTAGAACAGGAAATGAAAAGAGACTCAGTGATTTTATGATTCGTCAAGTTGCACAAGGTACTTCTGTTTTCTTTGCAAAGCCGTTATGGCCAGAAATGTCCACCATTCATCTATTTCTCATACTTCTGAAGCATAAACTCGAAGATAGATATTTATCATAATATAAACATGAGATCATCACTTACTTCTGATGAATAAGCTTGTTATAATATAAATATGAAAAGAGCATAGATGGCACAAGGCTTCAAATAGAGCAGCCCCAATTAAATTATCAGGCATAAAATACATTGTATCTATTTATGTCCACTTGCTCATGTCGGGCTTTTCAACAATCGGTCGGTTTTTATCATAGAGCTGCTTTTTATTGTCTTCGAATATTACTTCTATTTCTGATGCAATGGTCTTTCTTAATTCAATAAACAAACCATCATGGGCTTCTATGCAATCATTCATATCAAATCTTTTGAATATAACAATAAGATCCTCAGTATTGTCCCTCCATTTCATTAGTTCAAGTGCAATCTCTCGGATCTTATTCATCACAAATTCCTTTTCATATCTTCCGCCAGGTCTACTCTTAAGCTTTCTACTTCTGCTTCCACCTCCTTCTTCGGTGTAGCTAAATGATGTATCGCTCAATAGCTCGTCATCCATTCGCTCTTCAATACACCTGAATCTGCCACTATACTTTGCAAACGACTCTTTTATGTCCTCAAGATCTAATAGTCTTTCTAAAAGGCATTTTCGCGCCTCCTTTTTGATATCTTCAGTGTTTGTGCATACTCTATATGCATCTTGCATCCTTTTGCCTCTTACATACTCCTCAAATGCTCTTGGCTTATCGCCTATAAATTCTTCAATCAGTTGACCTGCCTCAAAATGCATACCTGAATCTATCAATCGCTTCACAAGCATTTCGTAAAACGCTTCTTCATTCAATCCATATCTGACATTAATTTCATTCAAATCGGATGTACTACTAGATTCATTCACATTCACCATATGCTTGTATATCAATATTGCCTCTCTCCAAAACAAATTGTTCACGGCAGTATCAAGACCCATCTTCAAATTATTTGCCATTAAAAAAAGTGTAAATCCATTCTTCGCACTGCACATCTCTGCACAAATCTCATAATAAAAGCCAGACCTCTTATTACTTATTCCACACGCCTCGTACATCGATGCCTCATCTATCAACTGATGCTTCTTGATGTATTCTTTTTCTAAATGCTCAGTTCCGTATCTGCTAAAATGATAAAAAGCATCTGCTCTACTTTCAAAGTATTCGTTTACTTTGAATAACTGCGCTTCTATGGAGTCTCCACGTATCACATCAATAACATCTGATGCATCCTTCTTACATATCTTCATCACATCAACAACTAAATCTTCATCACAAGTTTTCATCGCATACTCAACCACACTTTTTACAGTGGTAATCGTCAACATATACTCTACACCTTTTTTAATGTTGTGCTTTGCAACTCTAAATGCTAAATCCATTCTTTTCATCTTGACTAGCAAAAAAATAACAAACTCAAAATTATACTCCAGATTCAGAGCAGACAGAAGTTCATTCAAAAAAGCACCTGCATTTTTGCCACATATATCTCCTTTGCTTTCAATCTCACTTCCTCTACAATTAAAAGGATAATCACACGGCTCTCCAATCAAATGTCCTATGGAACTCATTAGAATGGCTCCATCATTGCAGATCATCTCCTCAAAGTGTGCTCGAAGATGAAGATGTCTATCAAGATTTCCTCTTCCCATACCTAATCCCAGACCATCATGCATTATCTCTCTCCAAAATTCAACAACTGCATCACAGCTAACTACTCTTCGCAATCTTCTGATCTTTTCATTCTCCAATAGAAGCTCAAAACCATTCATTCTTCCCAAGACCTCATTAAAAAAACTCGCCAAATCGCTATTTGTTGTGCATAAGACAAACTTTCTAACATCAATATCATGACTCGGTAGCATAGAAAAAGGAAAAACACGTCTACGACACTTCATAATAACCTCCTCATACTCTCCTGATTCTATCATCTTCTCCACGCTTGCCAGGTTGTATACCAACGGCATAAAGGTTTCAAGAGTCCCATGTCTTGTCTCTCCAATCAGCTTTGGCTTAGGCATGCACAACAGCTTCAATCCTTGATCAACTTCAAATGTACTTTCATTCGACCCACAAGTTATCTTACATACTCTATCCATCGTTATCGCCATTCCATACTCTCCTAATACAAAAGAATCAACACCCTGTTCTAAAACTCCATTATGCGACATTGTTGATCCATTATGAACGATAATTGTTCCGTTATTATCAACTCCAACTTCAAATCGCATTCTTATATCTATAATAGTCTTTTCGGCTTTTCCATCATAGATAATCCTTCCATTATCAAGCACCATACACAGCTTTTCATTGAAATTATACATCTTTACTATATTCAGGTTTCCATATTCATTCAACACCAGTTCTAGATATTCTACAATCCTTTGAATCCTTTTGCATTCAATTACTTTTGTTTTATTATTTACTAAATCAACCGTTATATCATATTCCTCATCAGTTGACTTGAAAACAAACTCACTACCGCACTTCAACACCACAAATCCATCTAAAACAATTACTGAATCAAATCTCTTATTCAGTAAAAATACTCTGTCTTCTTTATATTCCTCTTCAGAAACACTGAATATTATGGCTTTACTCTTCTGTAATATCACTCCTCTGTTTTTATATGCAAATACATCAATTACTTCATTATCACACACAATCTTCCTTGAAAACAAAGGCGGAGGGATTATCCTTTTGGAAAAGTCAGTGTACAGCACATTCATTCCATCAATCACATAGTATTCAGATTCGAAATGTGTCTTTTCACCAAATATGTACGCTCTTGTAATGCATTCATTGTCCTTGAATAGCACTACATTTTGCTCCACACAAACAAACCGCCCAGGCACAACGATTGAAGCCTTTCGATACCAACAGAAATTTTTCGTATAGAGCACCTTCAAGGCTAATCCCTCAGGTACTTGCTTCATTGTCAGAAGCACATCAAGATCTTCAAGAAATGCAATCTCATCACAAACTTCCTCAATGGCATCTCCATGATCAAGTCCGTTCGGCTCAATAAAAACAATGCCTTCTGTGCATGAACATCCAAAAATATTGTACTTCGCCCTCCATGCTATTCCTGAGTATTCTCTTTCCTTGCTTTTTCCAATTATATTCAATGATATGTCATAGAAAAACACTCTTTTTGTAGTTAACAATGCAAAATCATCACGGTCCGTCCATTCAATTGCAATCAATCCATCATAATCTACTTTAACAGACTTCTTGAACTCAATGTATGTGTCAAATAGAAGTATTTCTTCATGTGTCACGATTACACACCATTTTTCGTCCCTAGAAATACTCAAAAGCACAATTCCATCATTTACCTTTCCAATCTCTTGTATTTCAAGTGTGTTTTTGTTTGCAAGGTATATTGTGTCTAACTCATCGACCAATAAATACTCAAATGTCAACGCATGGAAATACTTCACAACAAACGGAACATCAAGAACCTTTTTAAATACACAGTCGTATATAACACCATTCTTTATCATATATTCTTTGCTATACATCCATTCTTCAGTATCAATGCATGTTCTTTGTATATGGCGAATAAAAAAATTATCCATCCTTGTGGGGAGGCCGAATCCCCATAAATGTGTGTGTTCAGCTACTCAGATGACGTTCCAAGGGAAGAGCGTAGCTATAAGAGTATATATGGCGATTTGGACATATTTTTAAATCACAGAGTTATTTAAGACTATTTAGATGTACATAATGGTGTATCTGAAAGTTCAATGTGCTCATTAGAAAGCATGAAATGTGTTAATAATAGGCAGTATTCATCCGAATGCAATGATACAGATATATTTGATGATGTTATTTACAGCTCCGATGTGTATGATATGCAATACTTGAGCTGTTTAAACACTGAGATTTCAAGGGAGAGTTTTGAGATGGTCATGGACAGACTTGAAAAGGAGTGGTTTGTGTTTGTCTAAAGGTTTATAAACAATTACGTACATCCTCTTGAGCCTGATGATTGCTGTATTATATGCACACGTGGTGCAGAAGAGGACAATCCAATAGTTGTGTGCCAAGGATGCAGTGTATCTATGCATCAAGACTGCTATGGAATTCAAGAGATTGTAGACTTCTGGATATGTAGAGGCTGTATATATCACAAGCAGTTGGCTGCATGTATGTTTTGCTCATCATTGAAAGGATGCCTGAAGCAAACATCTGACAACCAATGGGGACATGTATTATGTGTAGAATTCAACAAGACGCTTTCTTTTGCACACCCAGTATCAAAGGAGCCGATTGATGTCGAATATTATATCAAAAGAGAAGGATGTATGTTTTGTGCAAGCATATATGGAACTGTGATAGAATGTACCTATTTTATGTGTAGTAGAAAGTATCATGTTACATGTGCACTTGAAAAATGTTATTTTGATATGAGTAACAAGCTATCTTATTGCGATGAGCATGATCCACTTGAAAAGTGGAAATGCAATATGAAGGCTTTGTCATTGAGGCAGTTTGGATACAAACGTTTGAGCAATCGGCCAAGAATACGAAAAAAGAAGCCCGAAGTACAACCAAGTCGAACTCTGTTCATGAACATATGCAATCTATTCCCATGTGTGACACCGCAAATGCTTGAAAGAATTGTTGTAAATGATATATGTGATACTGAAGCAAAACACGATGTAATGAACATATGTGAGTATTGGGAGTCAAAGAGAAGACAAAAGGATACAATGATAACTCTGCAAGATTGGTATTTTGGCAATACGGCTGGTGAAGCATGGTATAAGAAAAAATGTAAGTGTGTGGATGATGTGCAGCAAAAGCTATGCCGAATACGGGAATCGAACCCGTGACGTAGCGGCCACAACGCTATGCTCTACCACTAAGCTAATTCAGCCGCAATTTACACTATATATTTTTAAGACTGGTGCATGAAGCTTTATGCTGTTTATTACTTTTCTGAACACTCTTTATAAGTACAATGCCGATTTTTGATTCAGATTTTGGCTAATCTCTTTAAATGGAATGAATCATTCTTTGGCTACTCTATGTAAATGCAATAAAGATTGTTTATGCATGTTTGTTAATTTACACATAAGGGTCTTGCTAGTTGATCAAATCAATTTATTTGTTCCATGAAAATTCAAAAGCAAATGCCCTTTAGCAATGGGAGGATATTGTAAAAACTTCTACATGAACAAGTTGGATCACCTAGAGGTTCTTGTGGCAAAGAAAATGAAAGTGGTGCAGGTTCTTGAACAAAAACGTGCAGAACTCAACAGACGCGTAAGGCTTCTTAGGGAGGAGATTTCAATTGTTCAGGAGCCAAGCTCAAATGTTGGAGTAATCGTAGAGAAGATGGGTAAAATGCAGGTTCTTGTCAAAACAAATCCTGATGGCAAGTATTTAGTAAAAGTTGAGTCCTCAGTGAACTATGACGATCTTAAACCTGGAGTAAGGGTTGCACTAAGAAGTGACTCTTATGATGTACATAGGATCCTTCCGACAAAAGTTGATCCTCTTGTATCGCTTATGATGGTTGAAAAGGTTCCTGATTCAACATATCAGATGATCGGTGGGCTTGATGAGCAGATCAAGGAGATTCGTGAAGTGATTGAGCTTCCTATAAAACATCCTGAGCTTTTTGAAAATCTTGGAATCGCACAGCCAAAGGGAGTATTGCTTTATGGACCGCCTGGGACAGGAAAGACACTGCTTGCAAGGGCAGTAGCACATCATACACAGTGCAAATTCATAAGGGTATCTGGCTCAGAGCTGGTTCAGAAGTATATTGGGGAAGGGTCAAGACTTGTAAGAGAACTTTTTGTCATGGCCAGGGAGCATGCGCCATCGATTATTTTTATGGATGAAATAGATTCGATTGGATGCGCAAGGATGGACGGAAAGGCAAGTGGAGATAGCGAAGTACAAAGAACAATGCTTGAACTGCTTAATCAGCTCGATGGGTTTGAATCGCACAAGAACATCAAGGTCATAATGGCAACGAATAGGATTGATATTCTTGACCCAGCACTGTTGAGAACAGGGAGGATTGATAGGAAGATCGAATTTCCACAGCCCAAAGAGTCTGCAAGAATTGAAATACTGAAGATCCATTCAAGAAAAATGAACCTTACCAAGGGAATCAATCTCGAGTCCATAGCAAGCAAGATGGCCGGAACGTCAGGAGCAGAAGTTAAAGCAGTTTGTACTGAAGCAGGGATGTATGCATTGAGGGAAAGAAGGGTTCATGTAACACAAGAAGACTTTGAGATGGCGGTCCATAAGGTTTTGAAAAAGGCTGGAGATGCAAACTCTGATCTGAGGAAGCTGTTGAAATAAACATGATTGTTGAATAAGAAATGTTAGATGCTAATTTGTATTGTATAATGTTTTGAGATAAATGCTTTGAATTATTCTGGTAGACGGTTAGGTGTTGATGCAAAATAGCAATCTGATTGCTTGCTTTTATAGATTTCATTTAGCAATCCTTGTTTTGCATTTCTTGGTATCATATATGATGCCAACGATTGTACGATTGAATCGCTGCAAACACCTGGGATTGTAACATAAATTGATACAAACGATTTCATCACGATTGGATCACAATATAACAATCTCCAAGAAGCCCTGAGATGAGCAGTAATGAAAAAAAGATGAAGTATAGAGTAGATATTGTTAATACATGTATTGCCACAGGCTTGCCTCTTACAGTAAGAAGCACAGCTGTTCAGATATTTGACAGAGCCATCGGCAAGATCATACCGAAGGACGAGGAAATGATCAACATTTTGTATGCAATCATTATACTTGCTGCAAAGTGTGAAGAGATCCATGGAGACCTGAATGCCTTGATTAGAAAACTACCAGACTCAAACAAGCAAAAGATATTCGATTATGAAGACGAGATACTTCAGGTATTAGGCTATAATCTACACTTCCCAAGCTTATATCTTAGAATATATGGCATTCTCACCATTCTCCAAGAAAAAGGTATTATAGAAGTAACCAATGCACATATAGATTTGAATGTCAGTATTGATGGAAAGTCCAATGAAATTTATACATTTCACAATAACAAGTGGATCGTGCCATGCATCAATAATCTTTGGTTGACGTCAGTCCAGATGATGGACAAGATTTTATTGCATGAAAAAACAGGATACAAGGAAATTGAAATGGTATATGCCAGTCTACCGTTTCCTTGCGAGGCATTTACATTACTTTCCTTTCCATTTGATGCCAAGAATGTTACAGAACTTAGAAATGCATGTGTAAAAATCCCTTTCTCATTATATAATCCTGAAAATATCTCTATGTAAGCACAATGATTGCTACACAAAGTAGCATATAATAGAATCATTCATACATCAAAACAAGTGAGTAGTGGAACCTCCATGTTAATTCAAGTATTTAAGCATGATTTCAAACTAAAAAAGCAAATGTAATATTTTGATCCTGCTACTGCATTAAAGTCTCTAGAATAAAAATGCCACAAACACGAGTGTTAAATAAACATTAATACAAACTAGCATCACATGTTTTACTTTTTTGAATTTCCCAATCTTCTACCTTCACCAATAAATGAAGATCCTGGTTTACGCTCCATCCCAGTTACAGACGCATTTTTAGGTAACTCACAATACTCTTCATTCAACCTTTCCTGATAAATAACCTCAGCTGTATCTCCCTGAGCATTCAACAATGATGCATCAAACTCCCCATCACTGAGCATTTGCTTGAGTCTGATATTGTTATCAATAGAAAAGTTGTAGAATTTGTTGTTCACCAAAACACCATTCTTATATTGAGTTATTGTCCTTCCAGATGGCTTTTCCTCAACATAAAGCCCACTGTTTCCTCCAGAATATAAAACATTCCCCTTTTTCTTTGCGATCTGCACTGCACGCTCAATGTCGCCATTCGCCTCCACATATGCATTTCTTGCAACATCATATGAACATTTTACTTCTTCAGCTATCATTCTAACCTGCTCATCATGGCCCATGCCCCATAAATAAAAATTCAATATCAGCAAAAATGAACAAACAAATACTTTACTTCGACTCAACAAATCATGCTTGCATATAGTACACGCTTCACGGTATATACTTTATCATATCCCCATCAATACATAGAAATTCTCTACTGGCTAAACTTACAATTCGTTCATCAACCAAATTACTCGGTATTTCTCGTAAAACCAGCTCTATAAGCTCCTTTCTGAGCATCTCTTTTCTGACCTTCATCTCCTTCATTATTCTACAGTCTGCAATGTCGTTGAGCGAGTCAGGCATTTCAATAGTCTTTGGAAATTCTATAAATCCCTTCAGTAGGCATTTCTCAGGAACAAGAGAAACAAAATCAAATTTGCATTGCCAATCAAAATTCAATGCATAGCTTAGGCCATCAACACAAACAAGTCCAGTCTCTATCAGTTGCTCCATATGGCTCTTCCATGCTTTAGAGATTTTTAATCCATCAGATCGTTTGCTTGTATCCGCTAGTAGTCTGATAATCATATATTGTATTAAAGAAATCTTGGCATTCACTCCAAGAATTTCAACATCACATGAAGACAGCAGATCATTCCAGCATATCCTTTTCTTCGCTCCCCTCACCACCTCCTGCATATACTTCTCCTTAACTTCATTCACTTCATATATATCCAAATCAAAACTTTCATAGTCTGGCCATTTACATGCACGCAGGAGTAAAATGTCATTCTGATAAAACTTCTCAGTTCCATAAAAATCTTTCAGCATACACTTCATCTTATCTGTATACATGCTTCCTGTACCAGCTCCAATCGCATCGATAAGCATGTGCTCCTTGTTTATATTCACATCTGTTCCATATAACAGTCTATCACCAAGAAACTTACGTAAAGAGCTCTCAAGCTCCTTCTTGCATTCACAAAGTTGAAGCACTTCACCAATCTCTAGAAAAACATCATTTAGTACACACTCAAGAACTGATTTCCCTTGATTTAAGCCGTCATAAACACACACATCGTCAACAGAGCACCTAATACTTATCTTCCATACATGCTTGCATTCAGGAAACATCAATCCAAGGCATTCTTCTACATTCTCACACTCAATCCACACTTTTTTCATCATGTTATTGGTCCATCTACATATTCCATTAACAGTATTCCTAAAGTTGCGATTAACAAGCATTCTTTTGCAATTCCTGATTCCTTGAATAATGCTTTCGTTACTGCCTTTGTAATTCTCAATAACCTTAAGCTTGGTGCATATCCAATAATAGCTTTCAACAAAATCATCAGCACAGACCACGTTCATCTTCTCATTGCAATAATTGCTAACCGCATCAACAAGTCTTGCTTCTTCTCCAGATATAACAAAAAAATCCACACAACACCGCATCTCGTTTTCATCATCAAGCGTATTGAATATCTCGCAAGCAGATATCTTCGATACCAACTCTTTCACCAATTCTAATTCAATTTCATAAAAACATTCCGTAATATATTTCCATTTTCTTTGATTATCAATAAATTTCCTTACTTTAGACAGCTTCATTTCTTTCTCAAATATCATTCTCTTATACATATCAGATACATGTCTAACAATCCTTTCCGTAAACATATTAAAGCATCCTCTGGCTTTCAAAACATCTATTACCTTCTCTATCTTTTTATTTGATTCATATATCTCTTCATCACCATCATTATCATGTAAATACCATACATAACTGTCTTTTTCAATCTTTCCTGCATCTCCAGAATTAAGCTTCTGCTTTTTGAAGCTTAAATTCGCTTCTCCATCATATCCTGCAGTTGCCTTTTCACTTATCTCATTTCCAATGCATAACATTACAAACTCTGCAATTCTCTCGCTCATATCTTTTACAAACCGATTGAACTGCCTTCCGAACATCCTGCGGAAAAACATGCTTCGACCCAACGCCACAGACCAGAAGACTCTTTCAAACAACTTCTCTGTTTTCTTAAGGTGCCGATCAATTCTACAAAGCTCCAATGATACCTCTTCACAATTAGCATTGCATAACTTCCTTGATGTATTATCTATAAAACATCCAATTGCCTCCACAATCATCTTCAAGCATGCTTTCGATCTTCCTTCATATGCTGCATTCTTGGAATACTGGAAAACAATCTCATAAATGGGCAAGCATCTACTCTCATTCAAGTATCCCTCTGTAAATGCCTTCATAACCGCAACCTTATCCTCCCGTACTAAAATCTCGCTCATCTCAAACAGACACAGGGCATAAACTCAAAAATAAATTATATCATTCACATAGTCTTTATTTTCACTGCTAGCAGATCCATCAGTTACTTAGTAGCACTTATTAAAAAGCATCCTAAGTCTACTTCCGCCATTCAACGCTTCCAGCAGTCTCTCGTTTCTTTTCATCATCACATACTTGACAGAAGATCCACGGATCGAGCACATATGAACTCCATTGAGCCCAGGATAGTCTCCAACAACATTCACCTCTTGGAGACTCAAGTTCATATATGGATCAACACTATAGAGCTCTCCAGATATGCTCACACCGTTCTTCAATACCACTAACATCCGGCTCTTAAGATTGGCTTGCAAAAATTCATAAAACAGCATTCGTATTCATGGGCTATTTTATAACCCTATAATACAAACAAATAACTTCAAGTCATTTTGCTCAATCATACGCTTTATGATCCTCTCATACTCTGGTAATCAAATTCATAAGATGTCGAGTAATTTTTTGAGTATCTCCACTTCAGCCATTTTGCTTCTATTTCCCACAAGAACCAAATGCTTCTTTGCTCTTGTAAGTGCAACATTCAACCGTTCGCTGCTTTCCATTACCTCACAGCAGGACACAGGATCAAAAACAACAACCACCTTGTCGTCTTCACTTCCTTGAAATCTATCAACCGTCTCAACAGTACAAGATGTGTGCTTTCTGATCATATCAGCCTGCGCATTAAAGTAGCAAAGAATTGTGCACTTCGAAAGCGAAGAAACCAGTACTACAATGTCTACATACTCCGTATTAAGAAACTCTACTCTCGAAGGACGCTCTCCTCCACGTAGTTGATTCCCATAGAAAAGTGTGTTCGATAATCTCATTATTTCCTTACCCATTCTATACTGAACTCTCAGCTTCGAGTATTCATTACCAAGCAGATATTCAAAAAGAGACAGGCTAAGCTCCTTAGAACTCTTGGAAAGAGGTTTCAACTGCAAATGGTCGCCAACTATCACAAATCGTTCAGATATGCTTACAGGGATCAACGCTAGAAGTAAGTGCATTTGTGAGCCTTCATCAATCACACAGAAGTCAAACTTCCTGCATACATAGACCGGGTCGGAAAATGAAAAACAAGTTCCACATACAAGCTCTATATTATCAAAAAACATCTTGGCATCGTCTGTATTTTCAAACTGCATATCCTCCTTTCCTGCCATATATGCATTGACTCCTTTTAGTTTTTCTACAATATTTCTCAGAGCAAGGTTCGTATAGCATACAAGAAGAACCTTCTTCTTACAATGAACAAGTATTTTGATCATCAAGGTTATCAGCATACTCTTGCCTGTTCCTGGCATCCCATGAATAATCCTATAGTTTTTGCAATTCAACGAAAGAAATAATGCAGAACGCTGATCATCATTAAGCTTTAGAAACTCATGCTTGTATTTCTCAGGTATGCATATCTTTTCAGTGTCGATCTGGCTATCTTCAAAAACCATCTCTTGTTTGTGGTTTGTATGGACTATTTTTTTTATGTTGGTCTGAATATATGCAGACGAAGCTATGTCCATGCTAATAGTACAGATGCCCTGTCTATTGGTTTCCGCTTCAATTTTACCATTTTGTTTTTCATCATCCTCTGAATAAAATGCAAAACTATTAAACTCCTCAGATACATCTTCATTATAAGCTTTATCAAGACATCGATTGGATTTGTCATTAATGCTAAAATCGATAATATTACTTGCATTAATATCCAATCCTGACTTCTCCATAGAAAGGCAAAACCCATTCAATACTTCAGAAGTGCAATATCGTGGATATGCAACATGCATAAGAGAAAATCGCATAAACTTAAAAAACACATTAGTATCTCCAAAAGATGCATACATCTTCTCCTTGTTTAGTCTAATATCATCACTTAGTCTAACAAGCATATTATTTCCTTCAACTCCTTCCACAACTCCTCTTGAAATTCTAACCATGTCCTTGCTGAATATGCTCAAGTGGATGCATCTTGGAATTATAAAGCTTTCTTCGGTTTCTAATCCTACAATGGTTGTGCTCTGATATCTCAATGATATTGGAATCATTGTCCCAACGCTTTTTGATTCCTCCTCATCAATTGCATTCAACTGTCTTTTCAAAAAATGTAAATCGTCCAGAGCACTTATCTCACCAAGAATTCTACACTCTTCATCATTACAAACACACTTCTGCAAGCCACGCTCTAAAGAAATCCTATTCCTCATGTTGAGCAGACTTCTTACCTCACGGTGCTTGATCTTTACATCCACAAGCTCTTTAGATGGAATGTAGTAGATATAAGGTGCAAAGCTATTTCCTGTCTTCTCACTTAGCATTAATGAGTAAAGTATCACCTGTGCACGATTTTCTGCTCTCAACGCTTTTGATACTTTTATCTCAAGAACAGCATCACGTCCAATTGCATCCGCATTCCCTTTTATGCTAAACAGAAGCGACGTTAGCTTCTTTTCTGTCTCCACAATATCAATCTTGTAACCTTGAAAATGTTGTATATTTCGCACAAGCTTCAGTATTTCATTAAGCACGAGTTTTTCATGCACTCCACATCTGTGCATCAATAACACATTCTCAGAAACCGCCTTCTTTGCTTGCATTATCAGAAAGTCCGATCTAAAGTTTTTATAAATCAATGCATTCTGCAGGACTGAGTGTGCTATTACCCCTATCAGTATTCTAAGGTTGACATGTGTGAATCGTACGGATGCAACCTTACTGCTCAGATAATGCTTATTTCTGCAATTAAGTGATTCGCATAGCGTCGTAATAGAAATAGGATCGTCTTCTATTAGAAGATAGTTTTCATGGTTATTCACATATACTTTCTGCTTCCTTGACTCTTTATTTAGATAATCTGCTGGAATTATATGTGAATCTACACAAACATTTTGATCAGTATTGCTTGTATCTATATAAGCCTTGCCACTTTCATTAGAACTCCTATTTAAAGAGTATTCGTCATCTCTGTCTGAGTCAAAAATCTCGTCAACAAAGTCAATGCTAGACGCATCTTCTTGATGATCACAACACATACACCTCACAACAGTAATCTTCATGTTGACTCTGTAATCAATATCGCACCATTCTCCAGATACATGGCACTCAATTGTGTCTCCAATCAGTACAACAGAAGAATCGCTTCTTTCAATTTTTTTCACCACAAATTTGGAATATACCTGCGGATCTACTTGACTAGCAGCATCAACGTGCTCAGTGGATGTAAAAAACATATCTATGTCAGATCCTCCGCTGCTGTTTTCAGAATGCAAAGGATTTCTACTCTCTGTGTTCCAGAACTCTATGTTCGAAACATTCTGTCTGTCGATCATGTTGAGTGCTGCACCTTTCTTACTGCTTCGCCTAGTATCTTTCCATCCTACTGAAGGTTCTTTCCTCATTTGGATAGCAAGGGTACTCCAATTGCATGTGTACACAGATCAATTGAGTCTGCTCAACATGGCTTCTCCTATTCTACATAGTAAATACTTGTATATGGTTTGCTTCTATTCTAAAGCCTCCTTTTAATAACAAGGGAGTCCTGGCATGCTGATTCGAAGTCCCTTAACAAATGCCTGCAGTCTGAAACAAGTAAACAAAAGCAATCCCTGCATATCGCCAAGGCAATCAAAAACAAATATATTCATGTTGAGGAGCGAAGAAATGACGTTGGTATCAATCTATTTTAGCAAAGACACTGCAAAGCAGGCAGTAACAGAACTTGGGAAAAATGAGCTGTTGCATTTTAAGGACTTGAATGTGGACATGAAGGCAGAAAAGCTGCTGTACATCCGTGAAATCAACCACATGGAAAAGCTGGTATCAAGACTGAGGTATTTAACGGCAGACATTCCAGACATAGAAGAAAATATCAAGCACAGCGATGTGGATCAGGTTGAGCAACAAATCAACAAATTTTTCTCAAGACTAATCCAGTTGAAGACAATGAAGAGAGAAACAATTACAAACAATGCAAAGCTTAGAGAGGATTTGTACATGCTTGAGGAGACAGAGAGCTTTGTTGGGACGGTCACTGAGGAAACACATTTGATTCAGTTTGATTTTATAACAGGAATAGTTGAAAGGAGCAAGAAGTTCTTAATACGGAAGGTATTGCATCAGGCACTCAGAAGGAATCTGGTAATAAGAACAAAGGATGTTGACGGGGAGTGCAAGAGTGTGTTTATTGTATTTGCACATGGAACAGAGGCACTTGACAAAGTCAAAGATATATTTTCATCGTTGGGTGGAAGAATACTAGATCACAAGAAGTTTAGGGAATGTAAGAAAGGATTGCTGGAACTAAGTGCAGTAATAAGCCAAATGCAACAAATTGAAAGCCATAATGAAGAGGCAATCATGAATGAACAAGAGAAGATAAAACAGCTTGCAAACACATGGAGGTATTACATGAACAAGGAGATGAAAATATATCAAACACTTAATAAGCTTAATTTTGACTTTGACAGGGACTGCCTGATTGGTGAAGCATGGATTCCATCAGATGCGATCGGAAGGCTTAAGAAGATTGGAGAATTCAAAGGAGAAGGCACGAATCTGTTTGCCTTTGAAGTGAATGAGAGTGTAGAGATGCCTCCGACATATTTCAAGACTAATGAGTTTACAGATTCGTTCCAGGCACTGACTAATACATATGCAGTTCCTTCATATGGCGAGGTGAATCCAGCGGTTTTTACTCTGTTTACGTTTCCTATGCTTTTTGGATGTATGTTTGGGGATGTATTCCATGGCTTAATACTGTTACTTTTGTCTACATTTATGATAAGAAATGCCAAGAAGTTCAAGAATGTTTCTGAGACAATGAAAATGATAATGGATGGGAAGTATGTGATATTTTTGTTCTCTCTTGGAGCAATGTTCTTTGGGTTTCTATACTCTGATTTTGCTTCTTTAGCGATTCCGTTGTTTTTATCAAGTAAGGATACTGGAAGAACCTATCCGTTTGGCGTAGATCATATGTGGCATCATTCGAAGAATGAGATGGTTTTCTTGAATTCGATGAAGATGAAGATGTCGATAATAATTGGATTTTTCCACATGAGCCTTGGAGTGGTGATATCATTTATGAATGCAGTGTACCTGAAAGAGCCTGTTGAGATATATGGTGTGTTAGTGCCACAGACAATTGTGTTTTTTTCGTTTGCAGGTTATATGGTGTTTCTGATTATTTACAAATGGCTAGTGACGTCCAACTATCCATCGATAATTGGAGTTTTGGTGAATATGTTTACGAATCCATTTGTGGTTGCTGAAGAGATGTATCCGTATCAACAGCAGGTCCAATTGATTCTACTAATTTTAATGCTGGTGTCGGTGCCATGGATGCTTGTTGGAAAACCTATATACATGATTGCAAAAAAGATGGTGAAGAAGGATGAAATTTCAGGATTGTGGATCAATCAGTTTATACATGTCGTTGAGTTTGGACTTGGACTCATATCGAACACGTCTTCGTATTTACGGTTGTGGGCGGTTTCTTTAGCACACGCACAGCTTACAAGAGTGCTGCATGAGTTTACAATAGGACGCGGAGGATTTATAATACCTGTTATGCTTTCTGGAGTATATGCATTGGGAACGATTATATTATTGATTGGAATGGAGGGTCTTGGATCTTGTCTTCATGCGATGCGATTGAACTGGATTGAATTCCATTCAAAGTTTTTCCGTGGAAAGGGATATTTGTTTGAGCCTCTTGGGTTCAACATGGTACCTGATGAAGATTAAGTGAAGTCATTGCAATAAGCTATTATTATATGGAATGATCGAAGAATTAAATAAATGGATATATTATTGATTGTTGTATAGGTGAGATATATGAATATGCAACTCGTATTGATTTTATAATGAAGCATAGGCAATTCAAGACAAGTTGTTATTTAGCAGCCAGAGTTAATTTTTATTGCAAAAAAAACTTCCCTACAGGGGAATCGAACCCCTACCTCCTGCTTGAAAGGCAGACATCCTGACCGCTAGACCAGTAAGGACCTCTCGTATAAAGCATCAGCAGACAGATTCGACTGTGTTTTATGTATATCATTCATTCATCCATTAATACCCATGCAATCAACATTCTCAGTCCCAAATGCAAGGTTCATATCTATGTGCATCCATGGCTCTTGTAATATGATCTCCTTGATAGGCAGTCGCACTGCAGTCGTTATTTCATACGATACCAGGTTGAATGCAGTTCAAAGAATCATTGATGAGCATCCAAATGAAAGTTTCATATGCTGCGAGTTCCTTGTGTTCAAGAAACAACTCTTCTTGGCAATTGCTGGAAAACTAGGTATTATAAAATTCCTGAACCTATCAGAAGGCACATTTGAATCACACATTAATGCCCATGGTGCATCAATAGTCTCGATCAAATGCATCAGAAATCAGTATCTATTCAGCTGTAGTGAAGACACAACCATAAAAATGTGGGACATAAACAAATTGAACCTTATATGCACTTTTGGTGGATACATGGGTCACAAAGACTATGTGCTATCTATTGATGTAAGTGCTGACATACAGTACTTGGTATCTGCTGGTACAGATTGCACAATTAGAATCTGGAGAATCCCTCCGCATTATGATTGTAAAGGCCTGATCACGCCCTTATGTACAATTCATAACACTCATGGTTCTTTTATCTCATGTGTAAGGTTCTACGGTCGCTTGATTGTTTTTTGTTCAGCACCAAACATAATTTCAACCATTCTTCCAACACACGGACATGATGAAAGTAATCCACATGTACATACTACATCTACCTATGATATCAAAGTTGATGATCAAATCCTACGAGGATTTAAAATACACAATGGCATGCTTTTTACAATCACTGCTTCAAAACAAATCCTTGCGTTTAGTATGCAAATCACAGGCCCACATGCTATTCCAAAAGTGGTCAGCACATTCACTCAAGGTACCATAAAAGACTTCTGTATTGCAAATAATAGAATGTTTATTCTGTTTGATGGCTCATCAGTCACTGCTATTGATCTTTCAAGATATGTGTAAACTCCTATTTAGGTATTGTATGTAATTTAGTTACCGACATTATAAATCACAAATAAATATTCATATCTCAAAATTGGATATTTGCCTCTTAACATCCTCAGCAAGCATGTTTCTGTTCTTTACATGTTGATTCCGGATCCTCAGCATTTCGCCAATCGCTTCTGTTTTTTTAGATCCATTCAGTATCTGGTTGATCTCAATATGAATCGATTTTATGTTATCAACAAGCTCATTTGCATCGAATGGGCATGCTATTAGCTCAGCAAAGGTGGAGAATGATAGATCAACTAGCATCCTAAGTTTATCCATGTCAAATTTTGAACGCTCAAATGAAGTCGAAACAGGCGATCCTCCAACTACACTGTACTCTATTCCAAAGCTTGTGTATTCACAAGGTATTTCCGGAGGTATGCCCATGCCTATGATTGGAGGCGCTGGCCATGAAAATATCTGCATGGGTATTCAAATCAGGTCCATGTTATGGATTCAGGTATAAATGACACGCCCCATCAAATACTTCCCTGTGTAACATTGGATCAAACATCCAATTTATGACCTCATCGTCAACAAATGAGTCAATAAATCCCTTTTCAAAGATCTGATACTTTCGTTCTCGCATGGGCTCTCAAACACATACAAACAAATCTAAAATACTCAGCACAACTACTGACAAAGATCATTCGTCTAACAATCCATTCAGCAATCACAGAGTGGATATTGAGAGCATAATCACAGAAAATTACTTCGATCAAAACACTATTTCAGCAAGCCTTACGCGTGAAGCAGGCCAGTCCAACACTCCATCTGTATATTATTTCGGTCCACAAATCAACAAGATTGTAATCCCAAAGATAGATCCTGGCGTATCCTGTATTTATTTTACTTATTCTGATGTGAATATACAAAGTGAAGATGATCCTGTGTTACACTACATTCCGTATACTTCAAGCACTTTACTCTCAGCAGTAATAGTCAAAGAGTACAAAGGTACTGACTTTGATAACAAAAGTTGCGATGGTTATCAAGAATCGGCAAGAATGACCACAAATAACACTGAATCTGACACCAAGTCAACGTTGAATTCTATTAAGTACATAAGAATGCAGTTCTGTGGTGTATGTCTTATATTCGGTTGTAGATGGCATGCAATCATAGATGGCATTTGCATAAAACCTGTGGGCTTTGAAAAGGATCCATACAATGCATACATGGCTGAAAAAGTGTGCCACAGTGATGTTTGTACAAAAATGAATGCTCATTATGCAAGGCGTGTGCCAGAGATGAGCTCTTTGAGTACATCTGAAAAAAACAGGTTGTTAATTGTTTACAACCAGTCTAAGGGTGATGCATGCATTACATCGTTGATTTTTTGCATTAAGCATGGAAAGTATGTGTGTTGCAGTCAAATAAACAGTACATATAATTCACAGGTACGTATATGGCCTTTAAAGCATATTTTTAAGAACAATGCACGCAATAACTATACAAAGATGGATAAAAAGGCATTCTTTACGCCATGCAGCCACGCAGGAAAGTGTTCCAAGAATAACGGATGTACGTGTTTGATCAATAAAACATACTGCGAAATGTCATGTTTATGCGTTGAATGCAGTAATTTTTTCACGGGATGTTCATGCACTGATGGATGTCGAGATGTATGTAAATGTTCAAATGGAGTGCGAGAGTGCACGCCTATATGCCAATGCACCGGATGTGACAATAAATCAATACAACTTGGCTTGAAAGCAAAGACTTATGTTTCTTCAAGCAAAGTTGCTGGATGCGGGTTGTTTGCAGCAGAATGCATTGAAGAGGGAAGTTTTGTTATTGAATACACAGGTGAAATAATAAGTGATGCTGAGGCTGAGCGACGAGGTGTGTTCTATGATATCAAAGGATGTTCTTATTTGTTTGACCTGTGCATCAAGAATAGAAAGTCTCAGTATGCGATTGATTCAAAATCAATAGGAAACAACTCCAGGTTCATCAACCACTCTGTAAAGCATGCAAATCTGCGTGCGGTAGCTATAAATGTCAATGGATCAAGAAGGATTGGATTCTATGCGATTAAAGACATAGGAATCCATCAGGAACTGTACTTTGATTATGGATACAGCAATGGCCAGAAGCTTAAACATGGAATAATTGATTGATACAGCATGTGCTTTGCATAGGTTAATTTGAATATATGTACCCTGACTCAATGCTAGGAATTGAAAGAATTAAAAAGATTAGCACTATGGATATAAAGGCTGTAGTGATGAATGATGATGTGTTTGTCACTGGAGGAAGAGATGGTAAGTTACGAATACGTCTAAACTCGTGTGAAACTGATGTTGAACCTATTGTTTTTGAGGGAGATCCTGGATGTGGATATATAAACTGTCTTGCTATTAGAGGTGAATGTTTATTTGCAGGATGCCAGAATGGAAGAATTGCAATTTACAGTATGAACTTTGATGCGTGTACAGATGGAAAAGGAAGTATAGAACCTATTGGATACATTGATGGACATAGCATGAATGTGTGTACTCTTGATATTTCTGATGAACTTTTGATGTCAGGCTCCTGGGATTGTACTATGGCGATTTGGGATGTGAGTCATTGCGAATATGCCAATCCTGAATGTTTAATGAGAATACAGCATCCTGCGACAGTATGGAGTGCAAAGTTTGTAAGGAAAAATATGTATATTACAGGATGCGCAGACAACCTCTTGAGGATTTATGAAGATGGTGTGTTGGTAAGTACACTTGGATATCATATGTCCTGTGTTAGAAGTTTAGCTGTTTTTGATAAATGTATTTTTTCAATTGATAATGAAGGAATAGTATTGAAGATATCGTTGGATGGTATTTTGCTAAAGCATCAGTCTTTGAATGAGTTCGGATATCACTTGAGTCTTTGTGAAGTTGATGGGAAGCAAATGGTTGCATGTTGTGGAGAGAATGGGAAGATGATGTTTTTTGACACAGATTTGAAGATGTTGCAGGATGTTCGTGTTCCTGCTATATCTTGCTGGACAATGTGCAGTAGCAGAAGTAAAGTATATGTTGGGTGTAATGATGGAAGGATCTATACATACTCTAAGAATGTATCAGATGATGTAATAAAGGAATTGGTAGAGATAGAACAGGGAATACGAGTAGTTGGTGAAGACAGAGAGTTTGTTTCGAACGGCCAGAAGTTCAAGACAGTTAGTGGACAAGTGTACCAGGAAGTTGATGGGGAATGGGTACTTATGGGAAGTATGCAAGGATCGAATGATTATGAAAATACGTTTCGGGTTGAACTTGACAACAAATATTACACATTATCGTTTAACAATGACGAGAATACTTATGAGGTAGCAGAAAGATTCTTGAGGAAGTACGGACTCAGAGACGAGTTTAAAGACGAGATTGTTGACTTTATCAAGAAGAATTTTGCACCAAAAGGAAAATTTCGTATTTATGACTCGATCAACAAAAAAGGAATCAAGACGATGCTAGACAGGATCACACAAGAAACAAGACATGAATATCCTTGCATTAATAAATGTATTGAGAATGTTTTTCGCAATGATAGTGAAGATCTTGAAAGTGAACTTAAACACTTGATGAATGAGGGATCTATGTTTATGGCTCTTGACTTAATCAGATACTTTGAGGCACATGGATGTGTATTTGATATGTCATTTTTGTTTATGCTTGATCCTAGAGATAGGAAGGAGGCAGTTACATTTATAAGACTTGTAGCCAATTTGTTTGCTCATCCTCCATTTAATTTGGAAATGCTGCATGGCAAAGTCTTGATGTTAAGAGACAGAAACCTTGTGGAAGAAAACGTGCTAGACGATTATTTTACAAATAGGAGCATTAAAAACAAGAAGTAGCATAATTTATTGTGAATAAATAATAATGTCAGAATTGATTAACTTTGTTGAGTGTTGAGAGTCTGAAGCAGTAAGCTTAAGCATTTGAACTGCATTTGTATAGAAAGAGGAGACTATGATTGTCAAGGGAGATAGGATGGATATGAGATAAAAACTTTGATAATGGGCCCTTTAGATGGACATTCTTAACAAGGTGCTCCGAGATCCTAGTGTGTGCCAAGTACAACCGGGAGAAGTAAGTATTGCAGGAAAGCCGGTGATATCTGGACAAACAGTTAAGTTTATAGGGACGGAGACCAAGGAATACACTCTTGAGCAAGTGTTGTTTTACTTGATGAACAGAACAGAGAAATACACAACATATATGAGTCTGTGTAGGGAGCGTGGAATTGGGAAGATATACTACACGGACCAGAAGATTATTATAGAGGAGATTGAGAACTTTAAAGAAACTACTGTCTCTGTTGAAGTAGATGGTCCCGAATTCAGGTATATTGGACAGCAGGACTATGGATACTTAGAAAGTGTTTGTAAGAAGGAGGGAATGAGAGGAGGATTTTACTATATGGTTGTGCCACAGTCAGTGTCATCTCCAGTCAATTTGTGTAACATCAGGGTGTTTCTAGATAATGGGCAATGTTTGGTGAACGTTGGTATTAGTGAGGCGAATAGAGTGGAGATTAAGTTTATGGGATATGATGTAGTGGTGGTGGATGATGTGAAGGGGTTTACTTCTGAGGATTGGAGGAGGGTTGTGTGTGTATTCCTTGATGGATCGAAGTGGCAGATAAACGAATGGAGTGTTAAAGATCTTGCAGAGATATTTGATACAATTCCTACGTTTTACCTGTCAAGGGGTAATCAACATGAAGGACAGTTTGTAAGGAGTTACAATGTTCGAAAGATTCAGGTTCGTGACGGGGCAATAAGTAAATCTGATCTTGATGTGATACAAGAGAAGGTAAGAGGATGTGTATTGAACAAATAACTTGATGGCAGATTAAACAATGTTTGTGATTTTGAAGGATTATTTGCTGAGAAGCAGAACCCATTGAAATGACGGATGCATTCCCGGTTTTTACTCTGAAAGTTAAAGGAGCTGTACTGGTAGTTGGAGGAGGCGGAGGAGAGCGGGGATTTGGCAAGGCAAATGGAATTACAGTCATGTCGAGTGCAACGCTTGAAAGGATATGCAACTATGAGACTGAGGATATCATCCTGGATATATCACTATATGACTATGAGTCAAAAGACCGAATCATTGAGATGGATGACGACATTACATGGAATGAATATGATGACGAAACAACAGGATGGTCATCAATCCATAACGATGATGAGTCTGAATCTCTGTCAATAAAAGATAAAGAAAGCACCTTCATAAAAGAAGATACTATGTCGATTAGGGATGAGTCGAGCGTCAAGTGCGAAGATAGGTCATTATCCCAGAGTAATACTGTTAATAGTTCAGAAATTGATAAAGACTTGGTTAATGCAGACAAAACAGCAAGCTTGTATTTCGCCTGTTCTGGAGAAAAGTTTTTCTATATGCTGAGATTTGATGGAGAGAAGATCCTTCTGATTAAGAAAGTAGGCATAAGAGTGTCTTCAAGTGTTTTTTCTAATGATCTGTATGTAATAAGCAACAAGAAGTTGTACGGATTCCATAATGTGATAGATAATCCTAGCATAATCAATAGCATTTTAGATCCTGAAAAGCCAAAAAAGGCAGAATCGACAATTGGTGATGATCTAGAGAAGAAATATGTATGCAAACCATACAAAAATGGAAATAAAATTGCATTTAAGCAGGACAATGGTAAGTTTTGCATAACAAATAATTTGGAAGGAATGTTCATTACGCCAGAAGCAATACACAAAGTTGTTTTTGAAGAGGACAAGCATACTTTTGTTTTTAACTCAAGGAAGTACATGTATGACAAAGAAATCGGCAAGATAGCGTATAGAGATGGAGAGATAGCATACTACCTGAAAGGGCGAGAGTCTGTATTGTATTTTCAAGGAAGTCACGAAAGGTCTTATAAGATTCCGAAAATCACGGCGTTTTCATCAGATAGAGGGTATATAACGGTTGGAACAGGAGACGGATGCGTATATCTGTTTGAAGGACCTGTATTTTATGGAATGAGAAGGGTATGTGGAATTCCCATCACAGGAGTAGGATTCAATAATGGATGTGTTTACTTTTCATCTCTAGATGGGTTTGTAGGTAAGAAAATAATTTCGAAGAAATGGAACCGGTATTTAATTTTATCTATCTTGATTGTGCTTATTCCAGTTCTTATAAGTATTTTTATTAAATAAAAACATTATATGCCAAAAGCCATAATAAATCTAATTTGAAATCATGAATGAATTTAATGATTTTATGTTATATTTTCAGCGCCATTGATCAAATACAACCCTTTTGTCTTCAACAGTCTTGGGAATTTCATTCTTAAATATCTCAAACACCTCCCTTTGCATATCCATTCTTCCACACACATATATGATGCATTCACTATCTACATATTCCTTGATATCATTCATGTTTGCCTTAAGATAATCAGTAACATATATGCCTCTGCTTGACATAACTTTACTTATCTTTACCTTGTTTTCGCAAACAACTTCTTCATTGTTCGCCATTTCTTTATATATGTCATCTTCCTCATCTCTAAATCCATACACAATCCAGATCGATTGATGCGCCTTAAAGTTCTTGGCAAAGGATATAAACGGCGCTACTCCAGTTCCCGTGCATATCGCCATTATCTTCTTTGTTTCAGATGACAGCCTAAATAACAAATTTCTTCTTAAATTCACTTCTACCTCTCCAACTCCATTCAGGTTAATCAAATAATCAGATACATGACCATACCTCATAAATGAATCAAATTGCTTGCTGGTTATTCCAACCAGAATTTCAGAATCACTGCCATTCTTGTTTATTAATGAAAAATATCTTGGCTTCACGAGCCCACATTCTCCTATTAGTTCACCTAGCTCAGGTTTGATTCCAAAAGTTTTCAAAAAGTCAATTACATTGTTCCATTGACTACTCATTCGCAAATAATCATTTGCACCTTGATTCGAGCATAAATACTCAACATACTTCTTATTTTCCTCTGTGTCACATAACGCACTAAGCCGAAGCATGAACGATCTCTTGGGATGTCCTGAGAAATCAAAGTGATGTTTGAAAAACTCTCGTACACTCCCCACATAGTTAAATGCTTCGCTCCCTTCTCTTACAATCTTACACACAAAATCATCTATTTCAAGCATCTTCATTATTTCATTGACCAATTCATCACTATTTGGGCAAATCATCCCAATAGAGTCTCCAGAAACATAATCAAATCGCTTTTCAAGCTTCACATTATACACATCTCTCCATTTAGATCCAAGCTTGCTAACATGCATGATATGAGTCTTATGATACTCATCCACACCCAAAGTCGTAGAGAACAACTTCCTTTCATAACATTCAGTATTCACTCGCTCAATCTGAACCTCATTGAATTTCATATTTCCATTTATTGTATAGTTTGCATTATATCTAAACTTTACGGCATTATATCCTAAACTCATTACACCAAGGGGTTGTTTATTACTTTATTTGCCTAAGACTTCTTAGTATCTACGTATAGCCACTTACATTCATCTCCATATCGATCTATTTGGCTTCTTCAAACTCTTTACATTAACTTTCTTTACATCATCAGGCATAGTAACAATAACACTATTATTCTCACCAAACTCAAAGTTGTCCGCTACTATCAAATCGTTACACTTTGCAAGCTGATAAGAGTATGGTTTTCCGTTCAGCACATCTTCTAGATTCCATTTTATCACATAGCTTCCTGTACTTGTGATTATACTGCTCTCTGACTCATCTGTGCTGAACTTCGCCGGTGTAAAGTCAATCTCCTCATTCATATATGCCAAATGCTCAGGCTTCAGCTGTAGCCTCTTTGGCACTGGCTTATCTTTCCCAACAGGTGTCTTATAGTCACCAGGCACACTGCTCAGCATTAGATAGTTCTTGCAAGTACAAATAATATACTTTCCATTGCTCGTAACGTCTACATGCTTAATCTCATCTCCAAACCCAGGAAGAAGTGACTTCGCTCTCTTGTCAATCTTGTCATATAGTCTCAGATCTCCCTTTCTAGATGCAACCACCACGTGTCCTTTGCCAGTTGCCATTCCACAATTAAACTCATTCTTCGTTTTGTACTCCTTAGACTCAACCACCTTTTCTTTTGTTCTCGGGTCAATCCTAAACACAGAGTAATCAGACACTCCAATAAGCGTCCCTGTATCCACAAGCTTTTCAGAATCAAAGTAATCATTCACCTCCCTATTCATCTCCCATGTCTCAACAACTTCTCCCCTTTCCACATCTAGCATATGCAGCCTATCTCTTTCGTTCTTGTCTAGATATATCAGCTCCTTGCACTTTCCATGCGTAATCATCTTCTCTATCTCATTATCAAGCACATTCTTAATGTTCGCCTTAAACTCCAATCCCTCTTCTGTGTTTCTAAACACTCCTACAGACTTTCCTCTTGTAATAAACGCCATCTCATCTCCTATGACAAGATGTTTGTTCTTCTCATCTGCTTCTCCAAAATGATTCTCAAGCTCGTCATCATCGCAACTCTCATAGTCTTCTTTATCATCTGTGTTTTCAGACTCATCATGTATATAGTTCTCCATCTCCATTCGCTCAAAGTACTTCTCTGCATCCGCATCTCCTTTTTCATCATCATTTACGTTCTTGTACAAACATCCAACATATTTGCTGAGAAACTCTAAAAAGTCTACATTATGCATAAACCTTAGAGAAAAGGTATGGAATGCTCCATCCTTAAGCACAGACCATACAAACGTCATGTTGACCTGATCCATGTAGTACTGCGTTTCTGTCTTGATCTCTTCAAAATGTATCACTTCCTTTCCTGTCTCTATTCTTATCACAAACACCTTATCCTTGACTATCCATACTTTCACTTTATCAGCTACTTCTTCAAACAGCCCCGTACTTATGTTATATCGAGAGTATTTTGCTGTCTTCTTGTAAGCCTCTTCAACTTCTTTCGTAAAGGGCTTTATCTCTCTTTCAAAGCTACAAAAGTCTCCAGATCCTATAAACACATACTTCTTATGGCCATGGATAAAAGATAGAGTCCCTTCTCTATACTCCAGTGATACAATCTCATCAATCTTGAACTTCTTAGATATCCCTTTCCTCTCAAAACACACTTCATCCTTAATCTTGAGCATTAAACATTTGTGAATCAAAACCTCACCCTGATCATAAATGTCCCCAAACATCTCCTCTTTCCTATTCACACTCGAAAACATCCTCTTTATCTTATCAATAACCATGGGCTAATACTTGTATTTTTACTTACAACTTATTCATAAATGTGTTCATCAAATACATTTAAACATACTTAAACACTTTCATCAACTTTCATTTATTCCATTAACTCTCTTACTTCCACCATACTGTCTTACCCATCCTCACTTCCCATCTCCAACATTATCTTACTTCCATTCTCACATTATAATATCTCACATCTCGTCTCATATTATAGCATATTATCTCATCTCACATTATCTTATAGTGCCTTGTTCAAATCTTGTACCTTCACCTTACCTTCATCAACACTCACCCAACTACTCCTACCTACTCACCCAACTACTCCTCATCAACACTCACCTCGCTAGCACAAACATCATCATCTCTATCGCCAGTACCATCCCAAACAAATAGTACACTCGTCCCTTCCGCTCTCGTCCCACAAGCCCCATCCCGCTCTTCACACTCCTCGATAAAAACACAAAAAAACTCACACTCACATACATCCCAACTATCCACCGCACATATCCAAAACTCATCCACCACACAAGCACCACCACATACTTATATCCACTATACGATACCACCTCAGCCACTCCAAGTCCAACCTCAAAAAAATACCCTGCTACTTTAATCGCCGCCACAAACACCGCCTCAATCACCACAAGCCTGCTCACCACAAGTCCAAGACGCTCTGCACTAAACGTCCCATTCATCCCCATTCGCAACGCCCTTCCAATAACATACGACACAAACCCCATCACAGGCACATACAGCTCTGCACGTCGCACCTCCTCTCCTGTATCGCTGCTCCACTCGCCATTCCTGAACGGAAAAAACATCAGTGCAAGCTTGCGTCCAATCAATCCATTGTCCACCGCAAAGTACTTGCGTAGCAATGCAAATGACACCCCGTCAATCTGCTTCACATACGACGATCCCCTTCTAATTGCTTCTCTGCCTATTTCTATTTCCATGGGGTCTGCCAACAACAACATCATCATCCCAACCTTCTTCTACACACTGTAACATCCTTCATTACCATACTTCATTCGTTCTTAAACATATTCATATTCTACTTGCATCAATTTCTCTTTTTAAATTTCGATGTATCTCGGCTGGTTTCTTTGACTGCATTCCTTGTCAGATCAAAACTTACTCTCTTTCCATCTTTACTGCCCTTTTTCACATCTTTTTTCCCAAATCTAAAAACATCCTCACAATCATCCTTCAAGCACTTCCGTTTCGGTTTGTTTTGCACACTTTCATTCTCATTCTCAACCTCGTCCTTGCTCTTTTTCTTTCCATTAATCTTATCAAAAACCCTCTGAACTACATCAACCGTCTCCTCAATCTTCACATCATCCTTAGAATACAAAGATTGTATCTTCTTATCAATCAACTCCTTCAGTTCCTTGCCATACATAGACGTCCTCTCCTTGTTAAAACAATCTATCTTTGCAGCTATCGAGCACTTTGTCGCAATATACCTGCTCATCCTTCCCTTGTCCTTTTCTTTCATCCTCGACAGGCATCCTGCTCCATATATAAGGCCATACTTCGGTGTTCTTGATTTCATCTTCAATGATCGAAACAGTGACTTCTCAGCCCCAAAAAGCTGCAATGTAGATGCTGGTGCCTTTCCAAGATTAAATAACCCTCCAGCCTGACATATCATCCGTGCACTCAGGCAGTTTCCAAGAATCGCCGCAAGATTCGGCGCAACCACACTCATCTTTCTCCCAAGATACTCATCCAACTCCCTTCTTATATCAATCTTCTCTTCAACTACCTCAATCAATTTCCTCATATTTTCCAAATCATCAGGCAATATATTCATCCCAATACTTGTTTCCTTCATCTTTGCAATCTCCTCAATCTTCTGATTATATATCTCTTCGCTCTTCAATTCACCCTTCTCCTTCATTATCATCCACTTGACTGCTTTCACATACTCTCCATTCTCCTTCAATTTCCTCCCAAGCTCAGGAAACACCCATCCATACATCTCTCGAATCCTCATCGAATACGAATTTATGTCCTTGTCAACCTGCTCAAGCAGCATCACGGTATGCATAACAATACAATCTTCTCTCTTCACATTGTACTCAACCTTCTCCCTTGAATATCCATGCGAAAGCCCAAGCTCCATCTGCCTTCCATCATATCCATCCAATCTCATCAGCTTCGGATACATCATCCTGACTCCTCGCATAATGTTCTCGCTGCTTTTATGCTTAATTCCAATCGCATAAAGACATTTCTTCAGTGATACATCACAATGAACCACTTTCACATTGTTCAGCTCAAGAAAATTCTTCAGCTTCGTGTGTATCTCTCCCTTCGAAAGACTCTTCATGTGTTCAAGCGCATCTCCTACTCCATCAAAACTCATGCCAGACTTATATCTTATCACTTGGTTAAGCTTCATATAATCCTCATACGACGACTTAGACATATCTTCATATGCCGTTAGCTCAAACAACCCATATCCTCCTGCATACTCAAAAAGTAAATGCTCCATTGGGGTTCATCCACTTCCGTTTCTAATCCAAATTCTTGCAAAAACACACTTTCAATTTCCAGTATTTTAATCAAGTCAATCTACAGATCATCCGCATCATTCAAAAATCATATCGGATGCTCTTTCAAGCCTATCCATAATCGCACTGCCTTCCCCACTCAATGTCACTCCTGCAACTAAAATAACCTCGCTAACCTTGTCCAGACTTCTTATCCCTTCAAACAACCTTCTACTTATGACTCTCTTCTCACATCCCATGTCAAAAATATTAACTTTGGATTTGTCATCAATCTTTCCAATACACACATTCGAATGCAATGCTATTCCCCATTTCTTAACTTTAAGGTTAGACAATATGTATTCTTGCATCCTTTCTCCAATTTCATTCTCTGGTCCTTTAAATAAAATCAATCGTGCAGTTGGCGAGTAATGCTTATACTTCTGTCCTGGTGAATACACTTTTCCATTCTCTAGCATTTTGTTACTGACAACAACATCGCAGCAGGCTACCTCAGTAAGTTCTTCCAATGAAATCCCTCCGGGTCTCAAAACATGCAACTTACCTTCCATCATTGATACAACTGTAGACTCCAATCCTACAGAGCATGGCCCTCCATCAATTACTAGTCCAATTCTTTCTCCAAAGTCCTCTATGACATGATCTGCAGATGTAGGACTTGGTCTTCCACTTATGTTTGCTGATGGTGCAGCAATAGGTGCTCCAAGTCTTTCAATAATGTTTAGAAAGCATTTGTTACCAGGCATTCTGACAGCAACTGTATCAAGCCCACCCCTTACTCGGAGGCTGATATCGCATTTTGTCTTGAATAACAAAGTAAGAGGGCCTGGCCAGAATCTATCTATTAGTCTTTGATATTCCTTGGGAATCGGCTCAGAAATAATGCTTTTCAACATATCAATCGAGCAAACATGTACAATCAATGGATTGTCGCCTGGTCTTCCCTTTAATTCAAATATCCTCTCAACTGCACTTTCGCATCTTATGTCTGCTGCCAATCCATACACAGTTTCTGTTGGAACAGCCACAACGTCTTTGAAACATTCAATAACAGTTTCCATGTCAATATCTTCTGCTTTAACTCGCCTCATTGTCAGGGCGTAAATCCGATGAAATCGTCATCACGCTCTTCACTTGACCCTTGCATGGTAAATGCAACAAAGGGATATTTTCTTAGGACAGAACCAAGCGTTAAAGAAGTCGTGCTGAAACTAGGCGAATCAGAAAACTTCGTTATTGAGGATATAAACGAAACATCTGTGTTTATAACGCCAGAAGCAGCGTCAGATATAAAAGAAAGAGTTGAGCTTATAATGAATAGTGCAAAGAACCCAACAAAGCAGTAAATACATGCAACAGAGAAATAAATACTGTTTGTATTATGCGTTTAGATAAAAACGTCATGCATGAAGCATATTTAGAATGAAGGTGTGTTACCCCACACACATATGGGCGTAAGGTCGCTGTGGAAAATCATCCAGCGTTCTGGAGAGAAAGTTGTGCCTTCAAATATGAGGCTTGCTGTGGACACAAGCATCTGGCTTGGTGCATATTGGCATCTCAGGAATGAGGATGTGATTTATTTTTTTTCGATGCGAGTGGTGAAGTTGCTGTATCATGGAATACAGCCTGTGTTTGTTTTTGATGGTAATGCACCAGAAGTCAAGCGGCAAGCACTCAGAGAAAGACAGGGTACAATTGATGATTCTGTTAAATACCTTGAGATGAAGCTTATAGATAAAGAAGGCCAAGAGCTAGCGTTTGATCCAAATAACATTTTTGATGAAAAATATATGGAGAAATGGGGAGATGCGTTTGATGATATGCCTGATGATGTGTCAGAAGAGTTGAATTGTAAAAATGAAGCAATGACATTCAGTAATACTTCTGATGAATATGATCAAATACCTGGCAGATATGATGATATAAATGATAAGATGACAAGTAGTGACAGTGAGTCAGAGATAGATTTTGGATTTGTTGAGTCGAAGGAGATTTCCAGAATGCAGAAGTTGAGGAGGCTGGTTGATCTTCGAGTTAACAGGCGGAAGATACGAACAAAAAAAGATTATGGAAGCATGGAAGTGTTTTCTGCACAACAGATCAAGAATCTGAAAAAGAGAAACTTTATAAGTCAAAGTATAAGGAATATGGAGGTAAACCAAGCCAAGATTGTTCAAAGTGACTGTAAGGTTGTTTATGGATTGACTAAGAAAGTACGATATGGCACCATTGACAATAAAGAAGAGAAAGCCAGTGCGGAAGAAATCAAGTATAACCAATTATGCAGCATTGATGCGCATGAAGTAGACGAATGGATTGACTCTGATACAGAAATGCATAAGGATCACGAAGAGAAGCATCACGATGCTGGACATATCGAATCTGGATTGATTATTAATGAGCTGACGAGCAGACATGGATATTTTGATAATGTATCATTTGAAGAAAGCATTCAGAAAGTAGATGGCTTGTTAAGCATACAAAAGGATAAAGTAAATGAGATGATAGTCAAATGCAAAGGCGAAAGAAGCATGGGAGGATTTTTTGCAGATTCTGAATTTGGAGATCACGAGAAATTGCAGGACTTCAGAAAGGTTTTGAAGCCAATAGGATGCTCTGATCGAATAATTCATCTGCATAAAATGAACAGGGTAATTGAACAGGTCAAAAAGGTACTTTTGGAGTTCAACATTGCGTATGTTGACTCTCCAATGGAGTCTGATTCGCAGTGTGGATTCATGTCATTGAGCAACATGGTTGATGGGGTGATAACTGAGGACAACGATGTTCTCCTTTATGGCGGGGTTGTTTTCAGGCACTTCTTCAGGAAAAACAGAGATATTGAGCGATACAGTTTGGATCGAATTGAACAAAAAGTTGGCCTTAATAGAAAGGAGTTAGTGATGCTATCTTATCTACTTGGAAGTGATTATACGCCTGGAATAAAGGGATTTGGGCCTGTGAAGGCATTGGAATGTGTAAGGAATGATGGTGTTGATGAAGAGAAGATAGCGATGCTACTTGGAATGTATTTGAATCCGATAGCAGCCAGCTCTGTAGAGATCACCAGGCCTAAGGTTGATTTGAAGCGCCTTGAGAAATTTTATGAGCAGAATGGGGTTACAAGAGAACGAATAGATGAGATTTTGTTCTTTCTCCGTAATAAAAGATGGGTTTATGATTAACATATGAGTTAGATTAGAATATGTAAAATGGATGGAGCAAAGAGCCATATGACAAGGGTAATAAAGAAGAGACAATTAGCTGTTATTATTTTTGTGGTGAACATGATACTAATTTTGTGTATGTTTGAAATGAAAGAAAGAGAAGAGGAAATAACGGCACATGTTGGTGAGCTGGATTGGAAGGATTATAAAGACTTGATAGTGAGTGGAATAGAGAAGTTGAATTCTGTTGGGTTTCTTCAAAAAATAGAGGCGCGAGAAATCATCAAAATGCAAGATGGAGTTGATGAGAAGTGTGTTGAAAGGATTATGAAGCAAGTGATGGTTGAGATACGAGCGATTGTATATTCAAGCGAGATTTGTGGTGATGATACGTACAGAGATAACAAGCCTGTCATGAATGGTACGAGTTATGAATACCAAAGGGGATATATTGAGGCTCTTGCATGTAAGTTTATGGAGAGGTTTGATAGTGGAGATATTGAATATCCAAAGGAAATTTCAATTGCAAAGAAGTATGTGCAGGATTTGAAAAAGTTTGTGAATGAGGAAATGCCTAAAAAAGGCTGCAAACAAAAAGTTACGATGCCCAGCAAGATGTTCCCGATAACTGAGATATCATTATATGATTACATCCTACTGGTTCTGTTGGATATACGAAGAGAGATATTAAATGATTACAAAGAGATAAGCATGTATTTGAAAGAGCTAGACCTAGAGGACAGTGTTGAGTATAACCTGAATATGTTCAGGGTCATGATGATGGCATTTAGATTTCAATACTTCATAGATGAAAAAATGCATTACAAGTGTCAAACATGTATGCATAGGAATAGACGACTAGTGATTGATTATTTGTTGGAGTTGCCATGCAATCATATTATGTGCATCCGCTGCCTTAAAGAGGAGTGCATCTATTATGGCCAGAAATCATGTATGTTTTGTGATTGCATGATATCTGAGTTTGAATATGATAATGCAATGAAAAGGGAGGATATGGAAGATGACTAATGAGATATTTAATGCAATGAAAAGATGAATTGAAGCATAGCAAACAAATTTTATGCGATGCCCATACAAAGCATGGTTGAAATTAACAGGAAACACAAATTGAGCGATAAAAGGGCACAGGATAAGGAAATGAGGGATCGATCTATCTGGACAGAGGAGAAATCCAAGGTAAACACCCGGGTTTGTAAGGGGATTGAAAACCTTAGAATTGCGGATCCGAGACACATGGGATCAAATATTGAACAAACAAAAGATTTGAAGAATAGCAACAGTGTGTATGAGGAGGATAATACATTGGATACTAAGAAAAGTGCAATTGAACCGCTATCTAGAGACGTAAGCGAAACCCAGAACATGACTTGGGAAATGTTTGGGCTAAAACCTGAGGTTGTAAAGAAGATTGATGTGATGGGATATGCTTTTCCATCGCCAGTTCAGGTTAAGTCGATTCCACATGCACTATATGGAAGATGCTTATTAGTTAGGTCGAAGAATGGAACTGGAAAAACAGCATCTTATGTGATTCCTATCCTGAACAATGTGGATGTATTGGATAAGGATGTGCAGGCCATAGTTGTTGTTCCGATCAGAGAGCTTGCGCTCCAAGTTGCAAGGAACTTTAGGAAGATGTGTGAAGGATTGGGCATATTATCAGTGCCTGTTGTTGGAGGAATGAGTATGCAAGACGACATAATACGAATGTTGAATGGAGCACATGTGATGATTGGAACGCCAGGAAGGATAGTCGATTTGATTGAGAAAAAGGTTGGAACACTGTCCAAGAAAGTGATGCTTGTGTTTGATGAAGCAGACAAACTGTTGGACATCTCATTTGCAAAGATAATTGCACGTCTTTTGGAGCTAATGCCTCAGAATAGACAAATAATGTTGTATTCGGCTACATTTCCGTACTTCATAGCAGGGTTTATGAAAAAATACATGCACAGTCCTTTATGCATTAATTTGATGACAGAGCTTGTGCCGATTGGGATCAAGCAATTCTATGTGCATGTTAAGCTGATGGATAAGCTTGTGTGTTTGAACTCATTGCTTACGAAGACATCAGGTATTAATCAGTGCGTGGTATTCTGCAACGGTATAAAAACAGTGGAGCTTCTTGCAATGAAGATAACAGAAATGGGAATACCATCGTACTTTATGCATTCTAAGATGACACAGGAGCATAGGAATGCAGTATTCCACAACTTTCTAAAGGAGAAGTGTAAGATTCTTGTTGCAACTGATCTTATCACCAGAGGTGTAGATGCACCAAGCACCAATTATGTGATTAACTTTGATCTTCCAAAGACATCGGAGTCGTATTTGCATAGGATTGGAAGAGCAGGTAGATTTGGCAGAGCAGGTGTAGCAATAAGCCTTGTTTCGGAGTTTGACAAAGAAGTGCTTGCTGAGATAGAAGCTAATGTGGGGAATACAATATCACCGCTTTCTGACAGTGGGCTTACTAGATTGTAGAAGCTTGCATGTAGAGTTTGTAATAAATATAATAGTGCTTAGTAGTATTTGAATATAAGCTGTTTTATTATGCAATAAACATATTTTGATTCAAATGAAGGCTTGATTGATTTTGAATTGTCACCAACTTGATATATTATTCCTACCAGTTTGTGGCTTCTTTGAATCCCATTACTTTTCCTCATCAATAGCATCAGCAGGTATTGTGTAGTATGGAATCTTTCCTCTAACCCAGTCATGAAGAACCATCTTAGAGACTGCATCAATGTTGGGTTCTCCTCCTTTCTGTAGCTTTCCAAATCTTATTGCCAGCTTCTCAAGTAAATCTGTAGAGTTATTGAACACAATCCCATATGTTTTTGACATCGACTCCTTTGCCTTGGAAATCACTTCATCAATGTACATTTCAGGTTCTTCGATGTTCTCAATTCTAATCGCTCCTCGGAGTATGGCTTGAGTATAATCTGCAATTGGAACTATCCCTGGGCAATCTATTAAGTATATTCCTCTTGTAAGCGTTATATACTGCCATACTTTTGTCTCTCCAGGAACAGGCGCAACCTTACATACTGCCTTGTTTCTTAATGTGTTGATTATGCTGCTCTTGCCGATGTTTGGATACCCAACAAATCCAACGCTCATGTGTTTTTTCTTGTATAATTTGCTTAGCTGCCTCAGAAGATTAACCAGATTTGCCTTTCCATAGTTATTTGTTATTGAGCTCGAATGGTATGCTATAGTGGGATGTGATTTAGAGAAGTATTTCAACCACTTAGCAGTCACTCCAGTAGGCACAAGATCAACCTTGTTTAAAACATACATCAAGTGCTTGTGAGGCGCTTCTTCTTTAATATATGTAGATATCTTGTCGCAAAGTGTTCCCAAAGGATCTCTTGCATCAAGAACATGAATAATCACATCGCTGCTGTCAAGAACTTTATATAATTCAAGCCATATCCTATGACTCTGTCCCTTCACAAACTCTTTCTTCAACTCAATACTCTCCTTCTTCTCCTCAGTCAATTGCTGAGAAAGTTCCTTCAAGCTACTGTAACCAAGTGTCGGCTTCTTCCTTATGGACTTCTTTCCGAATACACACTCAAAATCGTTAACTCGCTTTCTGTTCTTGCAGCCCTCCTCAAGAAGCGAGTATGGTACCTTTCCTGCACTAAGAAGCACATTGTACGGTGTTTGCACCTTCAACTCAGATCTGTATGCATCAAGCTCTGTAGAAGAGACTATTTTTGTTCCAGTAAACCATTTCCTGCTTGGCTCTATTCTTCCCGCTTCTGCCTTTGATTTCTGAAACGGTGCGTCTTTTACTATCTGACCTCTTGAGTTCTTTTTTGGCTTTCCTGATCTTAACATCTCAAGATATTTCTGGTTCTTCTTGTTGTAATAATTCTCCTTCATGCTGGGCAAAAAAATCATAGCTTAACAGCAAAACACATTGTATAGTTATTTTATGCTAGTCGTTCATGCACCAACATTATTAGTGAATATATCATGAATCATCAGCATTTATGTATCAACATTATCAGTAAATCCATTCATACATCAACACTTCTAGCAAATATATTCATGAATCTCCAAGCACACACATCACCATTCATACATCTGCAAACATCCGCCTCAGCTTTGTATTAATGCTCAAGTACTTCACTTGATCGTCCGTACTTACAAATATCTTCTCACTATTCTCAGAAAACGTTGCTCCTGTTACTTGCTTGTCTGGAAATATCTTGATCCGTTGGATCCGCCGCATATCTCTTGTATCACATATTGTAACATATGAAAACTGCTCAGTAAAAAAAAGAAGGTCAAGCGAGCCTTTCATTGAAAATTTCACATTCCTTACTGCACCTCTATGATCATCTCTTTGCTTGCTTTCAAATCTATGAAGAACACCACTGCCCCGTATATCCCATACACACACATATCCATCTTGTGTTCCAACAGCAAATGCAGATGACGAACTATTCCATGCAACACTGAATCCCCCGTCGTTTACAGTCTTCAGCTTCATTATTAATCTGCATCCCTCGCTTTCTAACGAATACATAAACACATCGTTCGAATCACCAACAACAGCTAGAAATTTGTTGTCAGGACTAACTGCACAACTGTTTACTTGTGCAACATGAACTATCCTTTGCTCGCTCTTGAGGTCAATCGTCAGGATCCTCAGTATTCTGTCATTGTTGCAAACAAAAACCTTGTCGCCATGAATGCATATGTTGTTATTTATTGATGTGCTTATTGCTCGCGAAATTAATTCATCAGTGGCAAGGTTCTTTATGCTCAGCTGTCCTTTTGCTCCACCAACTGCTAATATATCATTCTTCATGCAAATAGAAGTGGGCGAGAAATCCATGTTTGCCAGTGTATTGGTTATTCCTGTACAAACTTCATAAGACATAACGTTGGACTCTTTCGCGAAAACTAAGGACATCCCATTGATTTTCAGCATATCCTTGAGTTGCCAATGCTGTGAAACAACGCCAAATCCATATGCCTTCTGATCACAGCCTGCAAAACTCGAAATCTCCAAAATATCCTGAGACATATTGTTTATTACTTTTCTTCTTAACTTACTTCAAATCTCAAACAAGCACGGCTTTCCAATGAGCCTCTGTAGAATACAGGCGTTTATGAAATTCATAGATAAATTCAGCAACTCAATCTGATTACAAGATGCATACATCAGTACACATACTTTTCTCAATGCATAAATATACATTACAGCTTCATTTTAATATTTAATACTTCTCGCTGCTTGTAGTCATAGCTATATGTGACTTAATAGCTCTTCAATTTGAAGCTGTTGAACTTCATCCAAGAAATTATTTTCAGATGCAAATCTCTTTAGCTTTTCTTTTACAAACTGAAGGTCAACTGTGTTCTCTTCAATGACTTCCAAATAAATACAATGGTCCATGTGGGGTATGGTGTTTGCTATTTGTGAGGTTCTTTACAACATTCTTGCTTGTATTTGAGCATTCCATTTATGTCCCTGATGGTTATCGACCGATGCTCAAAAGATGTGTTTGATGTGGCGTTAGATCTTAATCGACTGGGACTTGCAAGCATTGATTGTATATCGTTGCTGTGCGTTGATTACGGTCAGGCGATCTCTTTTGTATCAAGCGATGGAAGTATAGTTAAGTCTGGGCATGTGTGGCTTTATGAAGAGCATAATGTATTTTTAAAGCTAAAGCTATGTCTTGTTCAAATGTGCCTTAAATCCGATGCAGAAGAAGCTATACGTTATGTATTGTCAATTGATGTGGGTTCTGATAGAGACAACCTGCTTGGGATGTTTTCAATTATACACAGGCTGGTTACCAAGCATGGGATTTGCAACAGAGACATTATTTGTCGATGCAGATGCTATTTTTCACTAAACTACCTGAAATCCATAATAATAAAGATACTTACAGAATGCTCCAAAAGTAGACTGGAATATATTATTGAGGAGTTTGGTAAAGAAAAGACATTAGATATGTGCATTATTGATCCAGCAAGTCTTAGCACAAACAGTGATGAGTCGTGGGCAATGGTGAAAAGACTGTTTTCGTGCATAGATGATGAGTCGTTTAAGAAAGCAAAGAAGATACTACGAGAGATGGACACAACATTTTTTTCATGTTTTCCAGAAGAGTTTAGTGAGACTGGATATAGGCATTTGAGGGAATTATTTGCAGGAGTAGATGAAGCAAGAGCCAGCAAGATTCTGGCGAAGATATCATGCTTATCACCTGTTGTATTATTTCTACCTATGCAAGTAAATAATGTGGAAAGATTCTTTGTGTATAAGAACTTGGAGGTTAGAATTGAGTCACTCAGGCATATTTGCACTGTTAAGTCAATGAGAACATTTTTGGAAGCCAATCAATTCATTGAGAATAGAAATGCAATAAAGCAGGCATCAAGATATTTTGAAATGTTTGTGATGCGCGAATGCAGAGAGACAGAAGACATGCAATTGTTGTATTCTGATGTAATAATGCCAATGATTGTATCTTGCAATTCATCAAGACGACTTTTTGGGATGCACCTCACTGATATATTAGTAAAGAAAAAATATGTGAGATTACAGAATCATAGCAACTTACTTTTTGATCAAGATTATGAAATAAGAATGATTGCTAGGAAGCACTACAAATGCATGCTGATTAATAGCCAAGAAATGATAAGAGCGATAAAGAGCTATCAATACCACGATCTGTATGGCTGCGTGGATTATATCAAGTGTATGGAAGATACGAATGCCTGTGATAGAATAATGGATGAGATGAGGGCGGTATTTGATGGATATATGATCGATTTTATAAGTAACAGCAAGCCTATGCTAGAATATCCCATACATGGACTGATCAATCTGCTTTCGTATTCAACAAAGCATGATATCATGAAAAATATTGACTTGGTTTATGAGCGCTGTTTTGAGAAGCTTAGCAATGCTGTTGATGAAAATGAATCTGAAGATCTGGTGGCATATTGGAGAAATATGAAGGAATGTTGTCACTACTACTGTTCTGTGGCATTGAGAAGTGACAAGAAGCATTCCATGCAGAGAATAATAGGCACTTTACTGAACATCAATCATTTGGGTATACTTTTACTTGCAGCAGATCATCTGAATGCCATCTTTGAAGCAATCCAACTTGAAAGATGCGAAATTCTGGAGATTGTTGAAGCAGTGGTTGACAGGATCAGAGAATGCAAGGTTGTTTTTAGGAAGAGCGGAGGGATAGCATTGGTGATCGAATCCATTGCAAAGCACTATCCTGAGGTTGCTGAGTGTGTCTTTAGAACGGTATTTGAACAGATGGAGTCAAGAGATGAGAATATAAAGGTGCACTGTTTGAATGTGATTAGCAGAGCAATTGGAAGCTCATACAACATCCTTCAATCAGTGTATGGCGTAAATGAGCTTTTTAAGCTTGCTTTGAATTGCATTTGCTCTGAAACATGGCGCATAAGAAGTATGGGAATGGAAGCATTTGCAAGTCTGGTGAAGAAGGTGTTTGGAAAGTCTGGACATGTTGATGATTGTTTCCTAACACATTCAGGACTCAGAATGCTATTATATGGATACATTTGCCAACAGGATGCAAAGAACGTGCTACTTGTTGCCATTTTCCACATTTATGCAAGAATCAAGGTTTTGAATGCAGATGAGATTGACTCAATCAAAAGGTTCCATAGTAAGGGTGGACTACTTGGATTACAATCAAGAGTCATTACAGAGGGAATAGAATGCAAAATACCAAAAATAACGAAGTACAGAATGAAGTTCCCTGAATGTTTGCCTTATGAAGACATCATATCTCGCACGCTGATTCTACTAGACTCTGAGAATGAAGAAGAGTACGAAATGGCTGTTTTATATGCAAGAGACTGGTTTAAATTACCAATGTGTTCGAGTGAATATCTCAAACATTGTATTGCAAACGAAGCCATTTCAACGGGATATGTTGAAAGCACTACAGAGAAACTCAGAAAGTATAGCACCAATGTTGTAATATCATCCAGCCGCTTCTTCACTGATTCGGCATCAAATGAGAAATTTGACCTGAATCATTCTTTATCACTATTAAGGAAACCAAGCCTTGAGTTATGATTGATTAGTATCATAATATATCAACTAAACACATGAGATATGAATGCAACGAAGTATCAAATCACTATATAAGGAATAAAGTAACATAACAATATCAAGATATTTTACTTTTTTATTTGTACCAATTTGAATCATGGTTGACATCTTGAGGTTTTTCTTGGATATAGAGTTGACTCATCAACGTTTTCATACTTCATAATACCCATCATGAATCTTTCAAATCCAAGCCCATATCCTCCATGCATGCAAGGACCGAATCTTGCCATATCAAGGTACCAATAATATGGGTCAACTGAAATACCTTCCCTGTTGAATCCTTTCACAAGATCTTCATATAAATCCTTCCTCATAGATCCTCCGAGAATCTCACCGACACCTGGGAATAAAAGATCTGCGCTTAAGGTTAGCTTAGCGTTGCTTTCTTCAGTTCTCATATAAAATGATTTGTGCTCAACAAGGAAGTGTGTTAGGAACACTGGGCATCCTTCTCCAACAAGGTCAACCAAATACCTTTCTGCAGCATCTGGAATATCGTCTCCATTCTCAAAGGCGCTTCCGTCTTCCTTCTTGTATCCATTAGCATTTAACAGTTCTATTGCTTCAGAATATCTGATACGTTTGAACTTCTGTGTAGGAACCTTATGGAACTCGAAATTTGGGAACACACTCAAGATATCATCTTTCATCTCATCATAGAATCTTCGCATAGAGTACGAAACCAGTTTCTCAATAGATTCAATCAGGTCATCAAAGCATATGTCTGCTAATTCAGCCTCAACATGCGTATATTCACTCAAATGTCTTCTTGTTCTGCTTTTCTCAGCTCTGTACGAAGGCATAATGCAATAAACTCGATGTGCAACAGGAACTGCTGTTTCCAGGTACAACTGTGATGACTGTGTCAAGAATGCATCTTCACCGTAATAATCCAATTTGAAGAGAGTGCTTCCTCCTTCTACTTGTGTCTGCACCATTGTTGGTGGTGTTATCTCTGTGTACTTGCTTTCAAAGTAGAAGTCTCTTATAATCTTTAGCAGATAGCTTCTTGCTTGCAGAAAAAAACGTCTCTTCTTTGTACGTAGTGCAAGATGTCCATTGTGAAGAATTGAGTTTGTACATGATTCCTCGTTTAGTGGGAATGATGGTGCAACTGAATCGTTGTATATGGAAAGTGCATCAACCTGGATTTCAAATTCGTATCCATCGTTCTTTCCAAGGTTCTTAGAGACAGTTCCATATATCTCTACGGATGTACACGTTGTCAAATGTGCTTTTGCAAGATATACACACTTGATTGTTTTGTACTGTGCATAAAGATTGAAGAAAGTGATCGTTGCTTGTGATCTAACGCTTTCTACCCACCCGAATGTCATGATCTTTTTGCCAATCATATCTTTTGATATTTGTGATAATTCGATTCTTTGGTATCCAGAAATGTCAAGACTTTCAAGTTTGCTTTTGAGCTCCTGGACTGCGTCTTCTGGCATTTAGGGGTGATCTGGAATCGTGTTTAAATGTTTTCAAGCTCATGCCATCATTTATGCATGTTTATGTCTTTATTGAATATATTTATGCGACAGCTACACTTTGATACTCAGTGCATATTTTATTGATGTTAATAGATGTACAGATTATGCCCATGAGGATGCAGAAGGCTATACGAAGTGTATATATGGTACCTGATCTTCCTGTGAAGGACATAGTGCAGTACTTCAATGAAATGGAGATAGGTATGAAGGTAAGTGATATTCTTAAGCCAACTGTACAATCTACGCAGAAAATATATGAGATACTTCTAGATGTTTATTGTGGAATAAGAGTGGCTGATATTGCTGCAAGGATGAGTGAGGTGGAGAATACAGTTGCATATGAAGAGTCTCTGACATATGTTTTATTGCAGAAGAAGATGGCGTGGTTTCTTGCTAAAATAGGATTTGATGGGTTTGGACTGAAGGATCTTGGGCCAGACTCGAAAAGGTTGATTGCGATACTGAGTGTGGTGGTGAATTTTTCTATGTTTAGAGATAACAAGCGCCATGTGTATGAAAGAGTGTGTCAAATGAACGATGAAAAGCTGCTTTTGAAGAATGAGATTGAGGATAAAGTCAATGATGCGAAAAAAGAGCTGGAAAGGTGTGAAAGGCAGGTTAAGAAGAGTCAAGAAGAGGAGAGGGGGATTGTGAATGAGATAGCATTGCTTGAGAGTGAGCTTAAAGAGTTTTACAAACATCAACGAGCATTGGTACAAGAGACAGAAAGAGCAAAGGCCGAGAGAGATGATCATAGCGATAAGCTGAGCTCTCTTAAGTTGATGGTATTGAATATTACACAAGAAATAACGTGTTTGAAAACTCAGGTTGTGAGTGATCCAACAAAGCTTATGGAGCTGCTTGAAGAGATGAGATGCTTGATTGTAAAGGAAGGAGATGTAATCAGGGGATTGGAAGCAAAAAAGATAGGGATGAAAGAGAAGATCGAGTTTACAGGACTGGTGAAATGTGATGTGATGAAAGCAATAACACTGGCGATAGCTAACAAGGATGCAGATAAAGTGATTGAAAGGACGAACAGAGAAATAAGCGAGCTAGAAGCTCAGGTAAAGAATATTGATTCTGGAATCAATGCACTGAAGATAAGATTGAGCCACGTGAACAGACAAATATCTCACATTGAATCGAAGATTTTCAACCTGCAAGATAATGACAAGAGATGCTCAGAGGAGATTTCTGAGAAGCTTGAAAGGCTTAAAAGCAACTACAGTGCGGTTTCTGAGGAAAGGGATGTGATGAGAAAAAGGATTGAAGAGAATGTGAAGTTAGCGAAGAATATTGAGTATGAGATTGTCAAGAAGAAAAATGAACACATGAATGATGTGATTGCTGTTCAATCTACACTTTGCAGACTGAAGGACAATATTTTCAATTATTTTGCAGAAGCAAAGGGGATGATTGAAAAAGAGATGAGTAATAATTAAATACTGTGGAGTTAGAATAATGTTGAAATGTATTTTGATTTGATCCCTTGGTATGCTTCCTAAGTCTGTAGTTGATGTGTATAATGAGCTGAAGATGGTGGCTCTTGGATTCAAGTCGCCTGCGTTTCGAGCCTTTTTTACAACAAAAGCTGAAGAAGACTTCAATGGAATTAAATATATGAAAGAAAGCAAAGAAAAAGACAGCGCAGTTAAGAAGTATTTGGAGGAGCAAGGAGAACTGAAAGATGTTCTAAAGAGGCAAAGCGTTATTTATAATATGTTTTATGATGATGCAAGTAGAATATGAATATGATTGATGGATGATTGTGAGGATGTTTTTAGATTTGGGAAAAAAGATGTGAAAAAGGGCAGTAAAGATGGAAAGAGAGTAAGTTTTGATCTGACAAGGAATGCAGTCAAAGAAACCAGCCGAGATACATCGAAATTTAAAAAGAGAAATTGATGCAAGTAGAATATGAATATGTTTAAGAACGAATGAAGTATGGTAATGAAGGATGTTACAGTGTGTAGAAGAAGGTTGGGATGATGATGTTGTTGTTGGCAGACCCCATGGAAATAGAAATAGGCAGAGAAGCAATTAGAAGGGGATCGTCGTATGTGAAGCAGATTGACGGGGTGTCATTTG